GTTGAGATAAGAGAAAAGATGCCCATCAGCAGGGGGCTTGTTCACTGCCATGTGGTGGGTGAGGGCTGCCTCGGGGTCGGTATCTCCTGTTTGTCTGGACCATGATACATCCTCGCCCTGTGGGGAGGACTTTGTTCTGGGGATGCGGAAGACAGTCGATTTGAGGCCATTCCGGTCAAACTCGACTCTGACATCGGATGGCTTGACATGGGCCTCTCTGTTGAAAGCGGAAAGGTTGGGGACTGTGAATTCCCCCAAGCGCCCAGCCGAGTAGAAAGTGGTGGTGAGGCAGCTGTAAACGGCGGCGTCCCGTGGCTGGTCCAGCTTAAGCTGGCTCCGTATTGCAAGAATGAAGTTCGGTGTGTAGGGCACCCTCTTCTTCCTCTTGGAGGACGAAGGGGTGGTCTTGGCAGCTGCCCTGAGCAGTGTCTCCAACTCTGCGGTATCCATTTGCCACTTGACACCATGAAGAATGTGCCATGCCCGGATGCCGCAGACATAATTGTCGATGGTGCTTCCTGAGTAAGCCCCCGCCAACGAGGAGACAAAGGCACTGATGAGCAAGGGGCTGGCCGGCGCTCGCTGGTCCTCTGGTACCTCCTTCTGATCACAGTAGACATGGAAATTTAAAAGACCTGAGCCATAAGTGGCCAGAGTCGACTCCTCCCAGGACTTCCCCATCACGATGGCTATTTGGCGGATGTCCTCAGGCCCCAGGTTCGACGGGGGGACCTCAGCAGACTCTCGCCCGTTGAGGGGGATCCAGGATTGCAGGCGCTCGCTGGCGAGCACATGTGGGCGGCGTGGGGATGGGAGAGGGCATAAATCTTTTGCATAGCGTGCTGGTTTTGCAGTGCTGGGCGTGTGCTGAAGAGCTCGAGGGAAGCGCTTAAACATCGAACCACCCTTGCGTGTGGGCGAATGTGGCTTTGGCATGCTGCTCGAAAGTGTGGTTGATCTCTGCCCGCCCTTGCTGGAGATACGCGCGGTCGACTCTTGGGAGGGGTGTTGGGGCCTTGCCCTGTCGTATAAGGTGCGACTCAGCTGGTGTGCAAGGCGCGTCGAAGTCACAGACATATTGTCTGATCGTAGAGGGTATGACGATTGCAGGGAGGAGGAGAGAACTTTGATAGTGCTCTCCTCTGGAGGGGCCGTCCGCTGGATTTTCTTTGCTGGGAACATATCGCGTGTGGAAGTGGACGCCCTCCTCTTCAGAGAGGGCATGGACATGCTTGAAGACCTCATTTGTGGATCTGTTCCGGCTCCTGCCTTTCCACCAGCCTTCGACGACGCCTCTGTTGTCTCCAAAGACTTTGATGTGCGTGCCTCTGGGCGCGGAAGGGACAAGCGTGAGGACGAGAAACCAGAAACCAACTGCTTCAGCCCAACCAATGTCTCTGCCGTCCTCTTTCCACCCTGGCAAGAGTCTCCAGGCCCTCCACCTGCCTCTGATTGTGATCCCAATACCAATTTCCGAGCTAGCATCTGAGTAAGCGTCGGTGTCGATGATGGGGAGGGGGCCGGGGATGGGCCTGCTGACGGCAGGCTGTGTGAGTCTTTCCTTCCACCACGATAAATCGCTCGGAGTTCGACGGGGTGGGTAATGCGGGCGGAAAGGACGGTCGTGACAGATCCCCATGAAGGCCTCCAGGTTGGTGAGGTACGCGCGTCCTGCAGGCACCACATGGCAGGCGTGCAAAAGCTTTCCATAAAGCTTTTGGGTTTCATCCAAGGTGTGCTTGGGCTTCGCCTCCCATTCCTGAATGGCCTGAAGGTACTTCTCTTTCTTGCTGTCAGGCAGGCTGACCGTGCGGTTGGTGAGGTCCCATGAGAAACCGATGAAGGGGGCAACATCACTGAAAGGGATATCCTTTTCAGTCTCCCAGGGGATTCCCAGATCGTCGGATAAGGCGTTGATGTCCGCCATGCAGTATGTGAAAAGCCTGTCTGACTGGGATCTGAGGCATGGTCAGCAGGCAGCAAAGAAGGGGGAGCACAAGGGCAAGAGGGGGAAGAACTAAAAAGGAAACGAACCTTTCAGATGCTTGCGATAGGTCACAGAAAGTGAAGGACGCATCCTCATCAAACTCCTCAGGCTGATCATCAGGCATGACAGCGCCCTTGAACCAGAGACGGCCACCGTCGTGGAGCTCTCCGCCGTTTCCTGCGATGTCCTGCGCCCATTTCCTGCGCCTGAGGTTGTATTCCTCCAGGTGGGATCGTAAAATCCGGAAGAAAATGTGATCATCGACCCATTTAGAAATGGGCCCGATGCCACGCGCGCGCATGATTTGTGTGCCTGCATCACCCAAGCGGCCGTAAACGCCACCACCTGATGCCAGGCCAAAACAATCTCGTGTGTCAATCGCAAAACTGTCCCCCTCGTCGAGCCGGACAACGAGCCCAGGCCATTGGTCTGGTTTGATGGGGACGGTCCTGTAGGCCTCCTTGACATCGCGTACAGCTGCCTGGGATCCTGGGGGGAGGCGCCGTATAAGGAGGCAGATAACAGAGAAAGTACCCCATGTGCATGGGTACTGATTGGAGTCAATCGCGCTGTTGATGGACGTGATGGAGTCGCGCGGGGAATGCGGCGACGACAGGTTCTGGATGATTCTGAATTTCCCCGGTCGTCCTGGTTTGGGAATGATGCTAAGTGGAGAAGTTTGGAAGGGCCCAATAAGGGACTCGACTTCCGCACGAGTGATGGGGCCAAAATAACGCCCCTTTTGGAACTCAGTTTGAATAATGTCATTAAATTCCGTGCTGTGTAAGGTAATAGACGAATGATTAGGGGGAGCGAAGGTCTGAAAAATACGTGGGATGCCAGCACTGAAGCCAAACCTGAGGCCATCTGGCAAGTCAGGGTATTTGCCCTGGAGGCCAGCCTCATGAAGGTGCCTCTGCCAGGTCTCTGGCTTGTAGGGCGATGCTGCATCAAGCCTTCTGAGCTCGAGGGCAGTTCTGAGCCCCGTGAGCCTGCTGCCCACACCCCGAACACTCGTGTCGAGAGTCGTGGGTGGTGGAGGAACAACCGTTCGGCCGTTGCCAGTCGGAGCACAGGATGCTCCCTGCTGGGTTGATGAGACGACCCTGGCCATTCTTGCGGCAGCGTACTGGGGTGCCATCCCAGAGGGTGTCCAATGCGCAGTTGAAGATGTCGTGAGGGTAACGGCCCAGGCATATGGTGCAGGCGGATAAGGCTCCATCTCCGGCTGCACCCGTCTGAAAAGACTGCTGGTTATTTGTAGCACCCCTTCCTGGACGACGACGTCTGGTATCCTTCGAAGGCGAGGAGGACTTGGGAAGCTGCAATGTGCTGGGGGAGCGACGTGCCCGCCTTGCTGGGCGGTTTGCGTTGTGCTGGCTTGGCTGCCCTCGCTGCTCAGCAGATGGGGAAGACGAGCGCCCTCGCTTTGGTCCCTGGGCGCGAGAGCCCTTGGCATTATCTGGGACTAGGGTGGTCTGAGCAAACTGCTCCTCGAGCCTGCCGTTGGCGGGTCAGAGGCAGCAGGCAGGGGGGGAAGGAATAAGCACGGGGGTCGCAACAGGGTAGCAGTTAGGTAAACAGAATGGGTGCATGGGCGCAAGAAGGGAAGCAAAGGCACGGGTGCAAAGGGCGCGTAGAGCATAAGAAAAAGGGGGGGGGGGTGCAAGGGTGCAAGGGAGCATGGGCGCAAGATAGGTGGCAACGTGCAAAGGGAGGCAAAAGGAGAGAAAAAAGGGGAGAAACTTGTCAGCTTGTGTGCACACCACAATGAAAGGAAACGGTACTGACCTGAGCACGCCCTCAGTGCGCCTCGCGTTCCACAGCACGGAACCAATGGCTTCCACGCGTCTGTTGTTGATGATGCCAATGTTAAAAACATGGTCATCGGCAGCATCGCGGAGGGCCTCGTGCCACTCCCGCCGGACCTGGGCTTGGTAGTGCAGCAGGACTGTGTCGCCATCCACTTCCCTTCGCGTGGGGTGGCACTCAAGGCTGAGGTAAAACTCAGCGAGGGCGATGACGAGGTCCTCAGGCCAATCAGTCTGGGCCATGTGGTGGAGCAGGCAGGTCTTCGCCATCGACATCTGGCGCCAAGAAAGGTCCTCGTCTGGGATTACCTTCGTGGACGGCTTGTGCGATGCCATGGGCTTCAGAAGGAGGGCATTGTCTGCCTTGGTGAAGGCGAAAGCGTCCTGGGCTATGGTTCGGTCAAACCTCGCCGCATCCTCGCACCCTTCTGTGGTGAAATAGTACAGCTCTACGTACTCGCGCTCGTCCAGCTTGTGAATTGCATAGCGGGACGGGCGAAGCGGTGGGACGTTTCCCACCGGCATGTTGGGGGCGATCCCCTTCAACTTGGGTCGCTTCTTCTCCTTGTCCTTCTTCTCCGCCTCTTCCTCCTTCCTGAGTTCCTCGAGCTGACGCAGCTCCTCCGCCTCCTGAGCTAACCTGTCTTCCTCAGCAGCAGCCGCATCCTCCCTCACCTGCTCCGCCCATAACTCCTTCCTGGCGTCGTTGTCCACGTCCCAGGCATCCGCGAGTCGGGTAGCCACCACCGCCTTCTCTATGCCCTCCGCTGTTGCCACAGCCGTGCAGACAGCATCGAAAGCTGGAGACGTGAAGTCTGGCCTCACCTCCAACGCGGGGTCCAGCGTGATACGTGGCATTTGGTAGTCCCAAAATGACGAATGTGAGCAAGATGTTCTGAAAAGAGTGTGAGCAAACGAGAGTTGGCAGGGAAAATAGAAAAACGAAAGGCAAGCCCAGTCCTCAGAGGGGCTGTAATAGTGACGGTAAGGAAGAGAGAGAGATTGCTTACATAGACTATCACATGCCCTGTACAAAGACAGCACCCTAACATTCCACTCGTGCCTCGCTACATGCTAGGGCAAGATCTTTGAGGGCGCAGGTTCAAATCCTGCTGGCGTCGTCTCAAACCTGCATCCGGGTATTTTTTCGAGATCCTTTATTCCTCCCATTTTACATAATTGACAATGGTGTTTCTCATTCATTCCAAATTTCCCGTCGACACGATTGGTCTATCATCGCAAAATTGAAAATGATGCAGAGCCAAAGAAATATTCTTTTGTGGCGTCAAGCGAAGTTGACCACGAGGCGCTGATGAAGAGCGTTTTGTTCACGTGCATCGCCGCCAGACACATGATCGCCCTGATCGTGAAGGATGCCAGGTTGAAGCTCACTGACGGACACGTCGACGCAATGCGTTTTGAACGCGTTAGTCTGCTGGCCCAGTTAATAAATGACTCCACATTGCCTTCGTTTCGTCCTTATCACCTCCCACAACATGCAGGCCATCGAACAGAAATTTTACCCCATCGACGACGCGAAATACGGCTGCTACATGGACACACAACGTCGAGTAGCTCACTGGGTCGAGCAGACGAACCACTCACAGTCTCAGAACCCGGTAGAGGGGAAAGGGTCAAAGTCCAGGCGTTCTTCCAGTTCCCGAAGTCGATCCCACAAACGTTCACGCCATCACGAAAGTGTAGACTTCGCTCCCCCTGTTCCAAAGCTACCTTTTTCCCTGGTACCATTCCCCAGTGACATTGGCGTTTCTCCCGCAATTGCACTTTTGTCGTCCTCCCTCCTCGTCTTCGCCATCCTCCCATCCCTCATTGCGATATCCGTCTTTGCAGCGGCGCTCACCTATGCTTCCGTTGATTCGGAGAGGCCGGTAAGTCGCATATCCTTTTATATGCTTCCTCAGTTGATTTATTTCGGAGTGTAGAATAAAATAAAAACTGAGGAATCGGGAGGTTGATCGTCACCCTAGAAATATCTGTGGCTGGTCCACAGAAATAGTAACCAGTTATTAACGGGTAATTTATACGCATTACCTACCTATTTAAAATCAGTCAATGGTTTATCGGCGGTTTACGCCCCACCGCCAGATCCCCACTTTTGAACGCGCTTCGAGACCTGACCTAACGAGTGTAGGTAACAATTTGACAGTTATTCATTCAGAAAAAGTATTACTGCCACACTTGATATCGTCGAATACGTATGATGTAGCAATGATGAGAGAGAGACAGAAGGAAATCTGCCGGTGACTTGAGTGATGCATATCGGGAGATGTGAAGGCCTTTATGGGGCAGTCGTCCCATGAGTCGGTTCAACAGAATCCGAAACGGGTAGGGGTTGAAGAATGCGACGTGTTGGTACCTTGGGGCACTTGCTACACCCTTCTTTATCTGAATCAATAAGAGTTCCCTTGTGGAATTCCTTGTTGATGTACGCGCCATTGTTTTGGGGGTGACACGAATAGAGCACGCGTTGAGAATGCCCTCGCTCGCAAGTATCGGGACTCGTAGACATGAGCTCCACAGGAGCCGATGCAGATGAAAAATCGTGGTTGAACCCCTCATAGTAACCCCACGGTGCTTGACAGGGACTAGACGAGCACTCTCGCTCGTCATCCGAGTCCTCCCTTTCATGATATTTATCATATTTTACATAGAATTGAGGTTGAATCATCCGTCCTATAAAGTCAGCCTTCAACGTTCACTTCAAGCATAATCTGGAGGATCCGTACACACCACAATTGGCCTCATTTTGCGCCCCACCAATATTGTTTTCCGTCCTTCCCTCAACTGTATTTGTGCATTCTGCGAGGCGTCGGTCAGACAAAACTACGATTCAACACGCAGAGGGCATACCACAACTGCATTTTATTAACGAGTGGTCATCGTTGGTCATATTGTTGGATTCAGCGTTGGAATCGCGGATTGTAGTGTCCCCAGTCATCTCGTTGGTAGTCTGGTCAGGCACACCGACAATCCCTGTGTTAAAGTTCTTAGAATATGGTGCGGGAGGGTGGTCTCTGACAAGCAAATCGAGTTGAGAAGGGACTGACGACTGGCATTCAGTGAAGTCAATTTCCGTCACAGTGACCTGTCGAAAAGCACTGTGCCAAAACGACAGATCTTCAAAGTAGAACGAGGTCGTTGGTAGATTCCGCCCGGTGCGTGGAGGAAGAAACGTGAAACACCAACCGTTGGTGTTAGACGAAAGGACGACGTTGATGGAGGAAACGATGTGGACTTGTTCGGCGGCAGTGTTCCGCGAACTCCGGCGACAGTGCGCCGCCCACTTCCGGATTAGTCCACACTTTTTTGTTGCAGCTCGCATCCGTAGCTCCTTGCTAATGGGTTTTGGCCCAACCATTGTAGTTTGAAAACTCTTATATTTCTGTTAGTCGCTTTGATTTTTGGAAAATAGGTCGACTTCACGGTGTTTATGTTTGATGCGGTTCCCCGGACTCCTGCTCGTTCGACGTCCGTTGCAATTACCCCCTCCCTCTTTTGTGATACCAATAATGACGAAGTGACCCCACACTACGGCGAAGTATATACATTTGGTTTAACAGAAGGACCTCCAGATTCTAGTTTCATGTCGCTTACGGATTGGTAGTTTTCCTTCATATGTAGCATGCCTCTGCGCGTTGCTGATGAATTCCAACTTCTACTGACAGAATATTTCTGATATTATCGGCCCTTTCAGCAACAATTCTGCCAGGTACTACCGATACCGCCTTATATGCCGCAAATTTCACCATGGGTAAACGAAACGTGAAGCTCCAGGTCACCAGCAAGCCCCCTTGGGAACGGTCACAGCAGCAGCACCTTCCGCTCAAATAGTCACCTCCAAACCCATACCCTGGACTGAACACCTCCCGAGCCGAGCGTGGATCAAAGCAACCGTTGAATAGACCCAAGGAGCCGTGGAGTCCGTTGAGGGGTGAGGTTGGAGGTGTAGGTGAACCTTACGCAAGGGAGAAGTAACGGAATGCGTCGGATTTGAGACAGAGTGTAAGAAAGACCCCGTGGTTTCTAGGCGCGTCCACCTTGACAAAACCATTGCACACAACACCTCAATTGACCAAGTCGCACAACCCGCACGTCCAAGTACCACATCTATCCGTGCTAGTTGAGGGAGTAGGTTCAAGCCGGGACGGACGAGCGCCTCCCAAAGCCCAATACCACCCAAATCACCGAGAACCACCTCCAGCTTCTCCACAGCGCGCGTACACTGTAGGAAGTGCATCATGCCCCACGTGAACTCGTAGCGGTTCAATGTGAGGCTTGTGATATTCCCCAAGGAATGCTCAAAGAAAAGGCTGGAGTCGTCTTGCCAGGGGAGTGGAATCGCACCTGGAAGACCGTGGGAGGTCAAGGAGAGGGACCTGAGGGACGGCATGTTTAATGGGCGGAAAGTCAGATGGAATAGGGTAGTAGTTGTTTGATTTGGTTTCTCTTGGAATGTAATAAGGAGAGTTTGAAGGCGGTCGAGAGTTATGGTGTGAGTGGGGGGCGGTGGGGTTTGGGCGGTGTCTGGGTTTCGGATTGTTGCGTTGAGGTGTTCCAGAGAAGAGGACACGGCGAGGACGGAATGGAGTGTATTGGGTGGGATAGCCTCGGTTTCGTCGAGGTTTAAAGACGTGATTTGTGAGAAAGGTAAAACTAGTTTTGAGGAGAGTATGTCTGCAGAAACGGAGAGCTTTAGAGAGCGTAGTTTTGGGGACGCCGCAAATGTCGTGATGGGCAGAAGCTTTTCAGAAGGGTAGTCGTCCTGGATGATGAGCGAGAGACGTTCGAGAAGAGAGAATTCAAGTTTGAAAGGGAACTTGACGAAAGTGGAGATCGTCAGGTCAAGAGAGATGAAGCGGTGCGCAGAAGGAGCTAGGATTGGAGATAGACTATCTTGTACGACAATCTTATCCCAAGTCGTGTGTGGAGAATGCAAAGCCAAGTTCAACTTGAACTCAATTGGAAAGGGGGTCGCATTCCTGCACCAGATATCAACCAAGTCTGCTTCTCCGCGGGGAACTTCGGCATAGCCCGCACGTAGAGTCAATTGCCTCCAAAGGAACGGCAGTCCACGAGCTATCGTACGCCAGACCTTGCAAACGTGGCAGAGTAGAAGGGGCGCATGAGCTGGGTTGGGCGTCTCCGCGCTCGGACTGCGTGGAATGCAAAGGAGGAAGATGGCGGCGATAAGTTCTGACGGGAGTTTGTGAATTGGCACACCGAGATGGCGCTGGATCGTGAAGGCATGGGTTGTTGCATTCGAACGAAAAAATGGTAAACGCACCTCAGTTTCCATATCCTCGACCTGGTGTCCGGGAAAGTGGTAGCCTAACAACAGGAGATCGATGGCATTGCTGCCCATGGCACATTTGGCTTAAGTAAGAAAACAGTCGATACGTGTTTCATAGCCGAGGAGAAAGATACCAACGCGACACCCTGGCAGAGATGATGATCCGGGTGGGGTTGGAAACCAAAGCGATGACAGCCCATTAATGTAAACTAAAGCAGTTTCAGCAGATATGAGTGAAGGTCATATCATTTGGCCTCACTTTGAAGTTCAGAGGAGGGGGCGTTAAGTTGAGCCCGTTGCTCGCCGTCCCCTATCTTTTTGTGCTCTTGCCTGCCGCCATTGTTGCATGAAGCAATTGCCGTTTCAGTCTCGGGCATGGAAAAATTTGGCCTGAAAGTGTCGAGAATTTGGGGTGTGGCGCATGGATGATAGGCTGTCTTGACAAGTTGAAATTCAACTTGAAGTGACAAACGCGTTGATCACGTGCTGGCAGCCTCGTTGTAAAAGTCACCACCCAAATATCCATTGTCCAAGCAGCTGCTACCTAACGTCCTGAGCTGGGGCACGTCCTCCGAAGCTACATTTGAAGTCCATGTTCGTCCATTATCCAACGGATCCGTACCGATGAAGCGAGTCGTATGTGCCATCATCCATGTCTGTTGGCCGACGGAAGTTGATCGGAAGTTCAATGCGGAAGGACGTTTCGGAACTTGGGGACAAAGGGACCACAGCCACAGCATCGTGCCCGCACAGCTCTGGGAAGGAAGGGCTTAATGTGCGTATGCCCAAGTTCCTATTGACCTAACTCACTCGTGGGCCACTGGCTAGGATCAGGGAACGCAACCCATTTTTTTTGGTCCAGTGGCTTTCCCGGCATCGTTGAAAACTTCGATACCCCCAGCGACAAGCCCTCGTCTCCGCCCAACTGAAAAACGGCAAAAAAACAAATACGAATCAAATTAATGAGCCTCCTCATACTAAATTCGTGCGTGTCAGGAGTCTCAATCATTTGCTTCTATATTGAGCCTATTCATTCCTGCGTCGCTCTTTACATTCTTCAGGCGCTGCTTCATATCATCACTCTTGGGGTGTGTAATTGCAATCCGCTTATTTAAGCAGCGCTCCCTGAATTGTGTGTAAGTGTTTAAACTTCAAATAAGATTATTCCGAAGCCTGAGGAGAATCCTTAGTGGAATCGTCCAGTGACACGCAAGAGACGCGATTCGCCACTTGATCAACCACTGAAAAAACATCCACGAAGGGGACGCAATTTTGTTCTGTTCTCGTATCCCGAAAACTTTCTTGTCGACATATGTCTTACATAAATTGGTTTCGTCGCCCGAGGACGAATTATCTGTGCGCTGGTCTTCCGCACGAAGAATGATATGCATTCAAACACGATATATTCTTGCAGATTCACTAACGGATGCCAGTGTAAGGTAAATAAATGAAATGTCCAAGACGAAGCTGTAACGACAGTGTGATTACGGTTCGGAGCCAGAGAGAGATCAACGTTAAAAATGTTCATGTTTAAGACGTGTGCATAGATCTGTAAAAAAAGGCACGTCAGAAAGCGCTTAGAAAGTAAAGGGTAAAAAACTGACGGAGTAGCAGCCGGAGCGGGACCCTTGTGAGCAGGCGTAGAAGTGCACTACAAAAAAAATCGTAAGAACTAAGGAAAACGTTGTAGAAATTGAAGCGTTCGCACCTCCTGCAGTGGAACACCTGACCCTTTGCCAGCCGATCCCGCTGGGGACTTGGAAGGGGTGTTGTTGTCCTGTGGAGCTGTAGGAGCGACGGAAGGAACGGCGGGTCCTGCATTTGGTGCGGGAGCAACTGGGCCGTTAGTCGACGCTGGAGACGCTGGAGCATTGGATGGGGCTGGACCAACATGGGGAAGGGATGAGCTTGGTTGCCCCGCAGGAGGAGCAGCAACATATGCTGGACCTGTCACTGAAGCTGTTGGAGCTGGACCGTTGGCTGGTGCAGGATTCACATCAACTTGGGCAGGGGAACCTTGCTTGGTATCATGTGGTGCAGGGCCGTTGGTGGATGGGGAAGAGTATGGTACGGGACCTCCCTGAGCCGCAGTGGGTGCAGGCCCGTTGATGGGAGGGGTAGACAACGACGCGGGAGGAGCGACAGGTCCTCCTTGATTTTTAGGATCAGTTGGCGCGTTGCTGCCAGTGGGTGGCGAAGAGTATGGTGCTGGACCTCCTTGAGCCGCAGTGGGTGCAGGTCCGTTGATGGGAGGGATAGACATCGACGCGGGAGGAGCAACAGGTCCTCCTTGATTTTTAAGTTCAGTTGGCGCGTTGCTGTCGGTGTGTGGCGGAGAGTATGGCGCGGGACCTCCCTGACCACCAGTAGGCGCAGGACCGTTGACGGGTGGAAGAGACGACGATGCAGGAGGAGGGGGACGTGCTCCTGACTCCTTGGAATCAGTTGGCGCGTCACCGCCGCTGGGTGGAGGAGAGTTTGGCGTGGGATCTCCTTGAGCACCAGTAGGTGCAGAACCGTTGACAGGAGGGAGAGTCAATGACGCGGGAGGAGCGACAGGTCCGCCCTGATTTTCAGGATCAGTTGGCGCGTTGCTGCCAGTGGGTGGCGAAGAGTATGGCGCAGGACCACCCTGAGCTCCAGTAGGCGCGGGACCATTGACGGGTGGGAAAGACGACGATGCAGGAGGAGGAAGAGGTCCTCCTGGCGTGTTGCTGCCAGTGGGTGTCTGAGGATCTTGCGCAGGACCTCCTTGAGCACCAGTAGGCGAAGGACCAGGGGCAGCAAGAATCGATGACGGCGCATTAGGTCCTGAAGCGCTATAAACTGGAGGAAGCTGGAAGCGAAGCGAAATAATCAATATATTGCGAAGAATTACAGGATTAGACCTCTTACCGCATGGTGATCACCAGGTCCAACTTCGGGTGACTTGTTTGTTAGCGGACCCCCTGTGGGTGGACCGGATCCACCAGGGTACTTGGGAGCACGGTCGTCCTGGGGGGAATCTTTGGCGGGTGGGGTACCGCCAGGCAGGGAAGACGGGACGACGGGAGCTGCAGGATACCCTTGCGCGGAAGCTCCTTTGGGTGGTTCATTGGACGCTGGGCCGTTTGTCGCGGAGGTCGGAGGACCGCTGGGAGCTTTGGGAGCAGGATTGCTCTGTGGGAGGTACGTTGGCGCTGGACCAGCGGGGGGGCTGCTCACTGGAGGAGGATACTTCAAAGATTGGGTCAGATATTGTAGGTTGCGTGAAGTTAAAACCTTCGTACCAATCTCTGACCATCCGCTGGAGAAGCTACCTTCGCAGAATCAGCCGGAGACTTTGGCGCATGAGTATCAAGAACTTGGACCGGTGCAGGTCCGTTCACAGATGGCGCGGACGCGATCGCGGAAGGGGGCTGGACATAGAGATAAGAGTTTGTTCAGTGTTGAGATTAACCTCATACCGGTTGCTGGGCGACACAAGAGGTCGATGGTAGGGGAATAGGACCAGCGTTTGCGAGTTGAATGGCGCAAAGCGCGAAAGCAATGAGCGTGAGGAAACGATTGGCTGCCATTTGACTGAGAATAAGTGGATGAGAATGAACGAAAAGAGAAGTTGGATTAGATGGTCTGAACACTGAGTTACCTTTTATACGAATTGTATCTGAAAAAACGACCTTAGAAACGACTGCGCAATAAAAAAAAATCTCCGAACGGAAAGTCTTGGCCAGTTGCCAAACCTTGCAGAGGTAATTTTCGGTCCTTCACACCTCCAGAGCCCTATACTGCGCATCGGTTAATGGAGTAAATAGCAGCGATAAAACAAGAGATAAAAATAACCATAGACCTTGCGCTCACAAAATCTGATCCGCAGATCGGTCTCATGCTGCATGTATAAGCGCGTCCCTGGGCACTTACGACTCTTGTTGTTCTTTCATGAAGACGTTTCGGAGGCCCATCAGCTGCGGAGAGATTGTGATTGGAGAAATTTACGCACATTGTATTGCCAGCTTTCCTGCAGGCTCGGGCTTGCGGCTGGAAACCCTCGGAGAATCAACGCCGCCATAGCTTAAATTCTTGATTAAATTGTAACAGCTGGTATCCAACTGCCATGTCGCGTAAAATGGAACTCTGCTGACGTTCCGCACAATGCTCACCTGAATACACTCCTGCTTTTAATTCCTATCCCCTCCAAAAAAAATGAAAGGATGAGCTTGAGAAACGAGAACAATTACGTTGGGAAGTCAAAATCGTCTTCTCGCCCCTCGAAAAGGGGAGACGAGGTATCCTTTGCCGACGTACTTCTCAAGTGCCGCTATGTCATCCAAGTATAACGGGAAAAGAGTCGGTCGACGTCGAGCATTTGGATTTCTATCAAATTCTTTCGACGTCATCAAGGTAGACGTCAAAAAGCCGGAAACTAGACCTATTAGTTATCCAAGTTGGATGAAGGAAAAGAGAATTGACTCGACAACAATAGTGAGTCGCAGATCATCGATCAACAGAGTATGGGCCCAATCTAAAGCTATCAGCCATCAGGTGAATGCGAATCGATCATAAACGAAATGCGCAACGATTCAAAGCCACGCGTTCAGAACTCTATGAACTCTGATCCCTGCCCGCTCAATCATCAAATAAACCCCAAGTTCGAAGTTCCCACCAGTTTTGCACACCTCCGCGTCGGCGGAGTCGGAAAGGGAATGGTGGCACACGTAGAGCGACTGCGCCCCGCAAATTAGCTGTATGGTCCACAAAAAGCTCGATAGAAGTCGAAATTTGAGAACGGAGAGAATGTTGAAAGGATGAAGTTGGGAAAGGCAAAAACGGTCCCGGGTTTTGCCTGTTCGTGCCCCTGAATTAGCTTGGTGTTTCGTATGCGTAGCGGAGCACGTTAGAGTGAGGCAGGGGAAGGGAAGTGCAAGTAGATAGATCCGTCAAAAGCGGACAAGACCGTCTGAGGTTTATGCGTACTGAAGAGAGGGATGAATGGAAAGTCAACTTCTCGTAGCGCTGGTAGAAAAGAGGTGATAACTCGCCTATATGCAGTCCCTCCGTAACATCCTGACAAATCGTTGCGGGTGGTGATGGCGAGTGCCGAGGTCGTGAAGTGGAGAGAGCTGAGCGCGTCAATCTGCGATTGTTTGTGTCCACGAATTTAGCGACGCACATCTAGAAAATGAGAAAGCCAAGAGAAAGCCAAGAGAAAGCCACAATGCCATGTTTTGCGGACTTTGTTTGTGTAGGCCTTCGGAACCTAACACGAATCTAATTTCAAACCTCTCGACTTCCGCCATCGATATCGTGTGATGGCGGAATGACTTCCTGATGAGCTTCTAAAGGAGATATTGTCACCGCTGCTTGACGTATGTGAAGAAAAGTTTTTAGACTCTTCTGACCTCGCAAAATCTCCTTTTTCCCTTTCTCCCCTATCTTCGTCGGTTGTCCTGGAAGTCTGCAAGAGCTGGCTGCGCGTCTCCACCCCCTTGCTCTATCGTGTCGTCATCCTTCGGTCCAATGCTCAGGCCAAAGCCTTAGAGCGCACACTGAAAAGTAACAAATCATTTGGTCTATTCATCAAGAAGCTTCGCGTGGAGGGAGGGTATGGGGCAGCAATGAAGACGATTCTCCAGGCCTCGCCGAACATCGCTCATCTGTGGATTACATTGGCTCTGAGATCCGAGGCGAACGTATCTGGCCTGTGCTTTTCGCTTTGGAGTATTAACCCGTCGCGCGTTACGTTGCATGATTCTTGGTACGAGGCTCGGAATGCCCAGGTGCTCAAGCTCGCCGAGACGCTACTCAATTGTTTGGAGAAATGGACGAAACTGGTATGTGTATTCACTCTACGAGCTCTTGTAGAACTTATGATTCTGCACCAGACCACGGTTGATCTACCCTATCTTTCAGAGCACCATGTCACCCTTCGCGCGGACTCACTTGCACAATCCTTGGTTGTCTCGAAATCCCTCAAAACTGTAAATGCACTCACCAGGACTTACTATTCCATCCCATCATGGCTTCGGATCCTTGGCGACAGCACCTCCCTCGAGTCTATCCACTTACGACCGACAACCTTCGCGTCCTTTCTATCTCAGCTTCAACAGCTCCCAAGGCTACAGAGTTTGGTGGTCTTCGACGAGGTCTCACCGTCAGTGAATCTCTCTCCTCCGTCAGGATGCCTCCATCTCACATTCTTACGGGTTTGCAGAGACTTACGTTCGTCTGTGGAGATTGAACCATCAGATGACTCAAGTCTGGGCCCCACCTTGATACCTAGCAACTTCACCTCTAATCCCATGCGCATAACGCCCCTTTCGCACGTATCGCAAGACTTGCGTGATCGCATCTGGGATTTGGTCATTCAGTTCGCAATTGGAATCAATGACCTCGAAGATGAGCGCCTGCCGACATCAGGTGATGTCATAACATGGAACAAAACACGTTTAGCGCTTTGTCATGTCTCAAAATACTTCAAAGTAAGTCTCGAAATCATTCAATCCTTCTCTTCATAACCTTTATGAAACACTCCTGATAATTGTGCAGACGCTGGTCGAGCCATATCTATATGCGTATCCCATGTTTACAGATATGGACTCAAGGCTACGTGGCTTTGCTGCCCGCCTTAAGGAGGATCCATCTCTGCGAACGCGTCTCCGAGCTCTGTACATGGCGGGTGGTGCCATCTATCCCCTCCGAATTCAAGGTGATATACAAGATACTCTTCAGCAAATTTTCGAAGATGGCACAGTCGCCCACGAGAACAAGATGGGAGTTGTTCGCGTGTGTGGTTTAGGCGAAGCCAGATTCTGTGCGCGCATTCGTTGGGATGTATTCGAATCTATGGCGTCAGCAAGTGGTTCAACCGTCGTTTCCCTTCGTAACCTTCGTATCGAGAGTCCGACAAAGAAACGGCAGAACCCGTCCGTCTTCTTCAAGTTTTCTGCGCTTCGCATCCTTGCAGGCGCGGTTCTGGTTGAATTTTCGGACAGTCCGAAGAACATTAACCGAGATAGTCTCTCAAATCTGGAGCGCGTTGAGCTGACAGCGGTCTCTCCATCGTGCTTGAAGGTGCTTTCATTGATGAAGTATGTCTTACGGGCGGTTGCGAACTGGGTGTGATTGACTATTTCTAGATTACCAATGTTCCATACCTTGTCCCTTCCGTCGTCGAAGGGTAAAGCGCTGCTGTTTCTGGCATCGCATGGTTCCAAACTACGTGTATTGGACATTGAACTAGAGCATGAACTGAGAGCAGAGAACCTCTCCGTCTTCGATCTTTGTCCAAACTTGGTCTCTTTGACTATGAGGGTGTTCAACAATGTATGTATAGTTTCGAGCCTCGTTTGCGATTTCCTTTGATATTCGAATAACAATTTTACAGACTCAAGGTCTCCTCAATCCTGCCAGCCAATTCACGCAGTCGAAGCTCACAAAGATCGTCTTGCTGAGGAATCCAGCTATCGGTGGCAAGAGGTTTGATACTTTCGAATAGCCATTATCCTTAGAACTAACTCCGAGTATTCAAGATTCAACCATAAAATTCACGCCAGTTTCTTTGAAGCCATCGACGCCAAGAATTTTCCTGTTCTCCAAGAAATACAGGTAGACTTTTGCGAGTGGCCGATCCTCGAGTACGTGGCGATTCCTTCGTTCGCCCAGATCAATGTCTGATTAACTCACGCTCAACTCAAAGGCACGAGATAAAGAAGAGTGTCTGGCCTAGGTGGGCCGAATATCTGGCAACACATAATATTAGGTTGACAGACAAGGATGGACGGCATTGGAGGCCTCGGTTGCAGTCGTCGAGACGCCGATGATGCGTGCACCACCGGTCGACGGAAATCTTGCGATAGAGCCAGTGGGCCGCGCCGCCTGTGCCCTTTGCCTTGGTTAGCTGAGGGTTAACGTAGACGGTTCCGGAGAAGGCCTATTGCGAGAGGTACATGTTTGATTATCATTTTAGGGGTATGGAACGCAAAACGGAGCACGACTTGGCAGTTTGACATACCGAAAACATCAGTGGAAAGTGGGTGTGAGCAGAGGGCCAGCGTTTCGAGATGGAGGGTTCTAACATGGGTGTTGAATGCTACGATTCGGCATTGTTCTCGACTGGGGGAGCTTGATTGCTTGGTTTTTGCAGTGATGTCGAATCCTTGTTCTCTTGCCGTTCTGGATGCGCTTGCTACCAACTTCGTCTCAACTGGTCGAGCGGTGGTATGTTTATGCATCACGTGCAAGTAGCTCCCGGCCACGTGCGGGAGCGAGGAGCAATGAGTGGATACAACTATAGCTAGGGCAGACGATAGTGAGGTCAAGGCTCGTCGCGAGCCACAGAACTTGACTATGTCGTTCGGTCAAGAGCGGAATAGTGACTTGATACCGACTTTCAAATTTTTTTCGGTCGCTGGTCGTCGTCGTCCGTGGTGAATAAGAACGAAGACCCGAATACCATGTAAATTTTCCAAGCCGTGAATCATTTTTGCACTGCGCTGTATAGCAAACAGCACTGTTATCCTGAATAGAAGAACGTTGTTGCACTGGTGACGCAGTGGTGACAGCCTCAAGGTGCGTAGTCGTCATATCGAAGCGCGTGACATGTGACAGCACCGCCGCTTCGCGATGGCAACCCTTGTATGTAAATAATGCCCGGTGTGGAGTGTCCGAGAGAACAATGCTTGCACCCCACGATGACGCTCCTCCGTCTATAATATGTCGTTTTTAATTGTTCTTCATCCGACCACGTTCACACCATTGTCTTTCTTCTCTTATCAAACCCGTCTGCTTTAAAGATTGCTTGGACCCACTTCAAGATACACAGTTTAGCATTGACTGCGGCTGTTCTTCTTCTACTGCTCGTCCACACCCGCCTTTTCGTGTTCTATTCATTCATCATGACGACATATTCACCCCCATTAACCACCAACACCCTCGACGCCGAACAGCGTTCCCGACTCCTCCGATCCACACGCAAACTCGGCGCCATGCTCGGAGCGACCCCGCTCGTCCTCGAAGTCATCCCTCCCGTTTCTCCACGCACAAAATCATTCCGCCGCGAAGGTCGCGTGTTCCCTTCATCCCGCTCATCGATAGACAGCTACGTCATCGTGTCATCGACAACACCCATGGCACCATACCAGCCTATCCCCCTCGATCTTCCTACTAGTACTTCCCCCAACAGCAAACAACCCAAACCTACACCTACACCCAAGAAAAAAGGCGCACGTCCCCTCGCGCAACCGCTCATCCTCCGACTCCGCTCCGTACCGGCGAAGAAAGCGAGATACTCGCCCATCACATCCTCCTTCGACTTTAACGCCTCTGCGTCTCCCACGCTGAACGATAGGAGGAGAAAGATGGCAAAGCTCACACGCACATTGGGCGAGAATATCCCCCCTGAACTCGTTTTTGGTTCGAATCCTCCCCCTTTGACTCGACGTCCGTCGACGCAGAAGGGCGTGTCTGCGCCTATACACGCTGATGCGCCGGTCGTCCTTTCCCCTGTGCCCCAGTCGAAGAAACGGGCGGGTGGAAGACCAAGGAGTTTAACGTTGGGGTCGATACCCACGCCGACGTCGACGCCGCAGTATGCGATGAGGGGAACGACGTCGCTTGATTCTCCAAGGCATCAACCAATTGGTCAGATGGAGGCGGAGTGGGGGAGGAGGGAGAATGGTGTCAGGAGGAAGGAGAGGGAGTGGAGTGGCGAGTGGAATATGCAGGATATGGGAAATGTTGTCAAGGCGTTGAGGCAGTTGAGGTGATGACTGCGATTGCGAACTTGTTCCTTTCACCCCCGTCTGCGTGCAGACTTATAATTTCCATGCTTTACTACATCCAACTATCCTATATGATATTTTAATTATTCATGTATAACTATCCTGCACCATCTATGTATCGTTACTAGAACTGTATATCAAGTTGTATTTCATTTGACGTTTGTGACGGACGACAAGGAGTGTATTGATATCGATTGAGAGGCACGCATATATATACACCACAATCCACACGAAAGACTTGTACGCGTCCTTGTACGTGTGTGGGCTACATACGACAGCAACTTGTCATTGCCGACGCGAATGATAGTGATACTGTCGGATCCAGAGACCCCACGATGATTCAGTCGGAAGAGCACAGCGGCACGCAAATAGGTCGTTGTCTGTTAGGCACCACAGATCCCCGTCGATTTGGGGAAGAAACAAAACTCATTCGTCGGTAGTGATCTATGGGTCGTTGAATTGCAAATATCATTGTCTTGAGAGGATCGACGAGAACTTACCTCCGGACTTGGTGGGGAGATATAACGGATATTGTTACCCTCTATCATATGCATCACACTAAGGGTGGTAGACTACTGGAGGTGATTATCTATCCCAAGACGGTAAGAAGAAGACTCACATACGCGCACGCATGGAGGGATTGGACTTGCCTTGAGTCTCCCCTGGGGTGGGCAGGTAATTTCGAGTCGAAGTTTCTTTTCGAAATAAATTGCGAGATCCGAGTTGATCAGTCTGTGTCGGTATAAGGGATGATCGATGATCGTTGTGTTCTGTCCGTTAATCTGCAGGAGATCCTACGAAAAGCATCATCAGTAGCAAGATCCTTTTCATGAAATCAAGTACCTGGTTCTTGTTCGTGGATGGCTTACGATGTCGAACAAATCCGTTCAATTGATACTCAAGGAAGCAATAATGCGAAGAGTCAAACTCACCCTTCCCTCCAATACCCGATTTTGATCCACTGAGGCGTCTAGCAAAGCGGGGTTGTTGGAGGCGAAGGCGCCGGTGGTGAAGATCAGGCCAACTTGGTTCGTCAGGACTACTCGGATCCCCTACATCATGATTCCCTCAATTCAGTCCATATTCTCCAGAGGCAAGAAAAGTAAAACAACTCACCCTCATCGAGATCCGTCCCCGCAATGAATCGCGGAATGCCCCTTGGCGTACGACTTGCACTGATTTTTGCACAACCAAATTTCGGGAGTTGCTATTTGTTTGTGTTTTGACATGACATTTTTTTTGGTCACATCTCAAACCCTGAGCTCACCGCCCGTCCTCGTTTTTTCGCGTCCGAAACACTTCCAACGGCTCTTACCCGCCCCATCGCGTCATCTACATACAGGTTCAACGATACGCAAAAAGGAAAGGTGAGAGGAGGGGGAACGAACCCGATTTCTGCTCTAACCTCTGAGCGACCGAACATGTTTCCAGCACCTTTCATTGAAAGACAAGATTCACAAGAAAACAACTTTACGAAACAATGGATGGATGGATCATGGATAAAATTTGTTTTTCCGAAAAGACCGCTTGGGGGCTAGGGATGTCCATGGGCGCTAACGCGGTAACGTGCAACAAACTCAGGATCTGTCGTGAGCGTCCCGAAGATTGCCTCACACCCTCCAATTAACTCAGGGTCTACGTCTACTTCCCCGATCAAAATGGGAAAGCGAACTCTTTGGGCGTCGAGTAACCTCGTTGCAACATTGTTGTGGTTATCGATCTTCATCCAATATTTCAATACTCTCTTGGAGGAAATTTTGGAGGAGGATGGGGAGATGGTGGAAGAAATTGCGGACAAGTGGAAGGAGGTCAAGGTGCGTCACGCAATGATTTCTTTCTTCAAGTTCTGGTCATGGTAACTGACATTTTCTCACCCCGACATCACCCAAGGTCACCGGCGCAGCCGCTTAGTTTTGACAAAGTCTTGATTCACCGATCCTCTAATACCCGCCCGGATCTACTCTGCGTCCAAAACTTATAAAAAGGTCAGCCCCCTCGCCTTAGTGGTCAGCCCCCTCGTCTCTCTCCTTCAGCTTACATCCCTTCCCCATCTTGTGCGACATGGCCCCACCCAGAGACGATTCCGACGAGGAGGACGAACTCGACGACGAGCTCGAGGACGACGGTGATGTTTCAGAAAAATCTTGGCTATATGCGTTGACTCCGCGGGGCTGCTCGCGCTCGATATCCAACTCTCTCGCACAGTGCTCGCCGGCGACTACGCAATTCTGTTCTCAAAACGGGATCCCGACGCCGTGAGTACTTCTTCTCAAGTTTTCATTCGCAACTCACAGTATCAATAAACTAGCCCTCTTGATTTTCGCGCAGATGGCAAGCGAAAAAAATTGAAAGCAGAACAGCGGAGCAAGATCCGCTTCCTCATCAACCACCTGCGCCAGGAGTTCCGCGAGTCCGTCGCCATTATATTTGATCGCGACGTTGAAACGTTGCGAAAGATAGTCGACGGCGACTACGATAAGTGTCAAGACCAACTCGCCGCCGATCAACAGTGGTTCAACAACGACGAATTTATACGATCATTCAGTCCAATCCTTGATCGCAAGAAGATAGCCCGTTGTCAAGACCTGCTTCGCGTTGTGCAACGATCAGTGGGTAGGAGGGCCTCAGTCAGTCATCCCTCGACATATTCCGGTCAACTACGGTCCAAGAGAGGTCGGGACGAAAGCGAGAGCGAGAGGGAAACTAACGGCTCCCCGAACTCGCAGGTAAATTTTTATCATTTCTTCTTCATTCATTTGGACTAAACTTTATACCTATCCCAGACAGCAACAGGGACTAAAGCCGCGTCAAATTCACAGGTACGTACCTCTTATCGCAACCTTTCCTTCACTGACTAACTTTTTAAAGTCGACGGGATTCGGTTCCTCTCAAACCCAGGCCAGGAGCGAGCGAGCGCAGAAGCGAGTGCGCTTTACTACTGGGGACAACGTGGAGGGGGTGGGAAATGATGTCGCGGCCCGCCTAGAGCGACGGACAGGAAAAATGAGGGAACACCCCGAGGAAACCAACGAGAAAGGGGGAAAGGGTACGAGCTCCCGCCTCGCCTCTACTTCGGCCGTCGTCTCCATTCCACCAACCCCACCTTCCGTACCATTTACATGGAACCGCACCCTCACTCAGCCACCATCGTCATCTCGCGGTCCTCCCTCGTCCCGCAGTGCTTCATCATCCCGACTGGAGCCCAGTGTCGCAACTCCGCCCCCTGCCAACCCTACTAGCACTCGTGTGGACCACGACGATGCCTGGGATGAGGAATGGTTGCGAGAACTCCTTCGGCGTCACCGCTTCGAGTGCGACATATTGGTAAACGCCTTGCGGGTAGCACAGGTTCATCGGATTCACATTGAACACATGATGCACAACAACGGCTATGGGTTGGAAAAAATTGAAAGGTGGCTGAGGAAGGCTCTTCCTGATCACCTGGCCGATAGTTATGTTTTAACTCTAGTGGAAATCATCTGGGAGGAGAAGCTCAAGCTCAACTCGGAGTAAGTCTTGTGTCCGGGACTTATATATATTTTCCCTAAGTAGATAGCGGCGCCTCTGGTATATAAATGTTTCGTAGTGATGTTCAACCATCACAGTAATAATGCATAGCTTTGTTGCCTGAAGAGAAACATTACTTAACGCAAAACGTCAACGCGTCACACTCAGTAAAGAGCGAAGTCGGAAGTTGGTCAGAAGAAAGTCACGAATTTGAGGTTGTATGACTAAATGTCGTTTTTTTAAGCGTTTCTGACTACGCTCGTATTACAATAGTCATACATTAGTTGCACACTGCAAATCATATATTACGCCACAGTCATGTACTGGTCATATAATAGTCATATCTTAGTCATGTAATAGTCATATCTCAGTCATTGATTGCTTGGGCTCAATTTGGGTCAGGAAATAGACTGAATAAAATTGTATTTGACTACTTTAAAGAATACATGTAGTGGGCCTATAGCCTACGAAGTATAGTATGAGGGGACTACTGTTCATCAAGGGAAGAAAGGGACCGTTCGTCGAGGGAGGGGGGGGGGCGTTCGTCGAGGGAAGTACGAGAACCATTCATTGAGGGAGGGATGAGGCCGTTCGTCGAGGGAGGGAGGAGGCTGTTCGTCAAGAGAGGGATGAGGCTGTTAGTCAGGAAGGGGGAAAGCTGTTCATTGAGGGAGGGGAGCCCATCGGCCAAGGGAAGGACGAGACCGTTCGTTGAGGGAGGCAGGAGGCCATTCGTCAAGGGAGGGAGGAAGCCGTTCGCCAAGGGAGGGAGGAGGCCGTCCGTTGAGAGAGGGAGCAGGCTGTCCATCGAGAGCGGAAGGAGGCCATTCGCCGAGAGGGGAAACCGTCCGTTGAGAGAGGAGGCCATTCGCCGAGAGGCCGTCCGTCGAGAGAGGGAGAGGCCATTCGCCAAGGGGAGGCCATCCATCGAGAGAGGCAGGAGGCTATTGGTCGAGAGAGGGGGGAGGCGTTCGGTGAGGAGACCATTCGTCGAGGGAAAGAGAAGGCTGTTCATTGAGGGAGGAGGCCGTTTGTTGACTTGACAATGTGCTGGAAGGGAAGAACAATGAATTTCCGTGTTGGGAAATTCAAAATTCAACATGACGTCGGAGTTTCAACGGACTTGAACAAACTGCAGCTCATGACTTGAACTTTTTTGAAGTTGTTCACACTTGGTTCACACGCGTAACTGTAAGTAGGTAGCACATGCATACCAGAAAATTTTAAAAAAAGATGAACCATTTCGAAAATTCTTGGCACAGACATGTATATAAAATGTACGACAATGTTGATACTAACCTATGACTAAACTCACCTCCCATTTGATGTCAAGGGAAGGCTGGCGTGAAAATTACAGACGTGTGACACACGTCTGACTGACGTCTGACTTCGTATAATTTTTCTTGACTTCGCTTTTTACTGAGCGTCACATCTTACACGAAACCGAAAAAGTACAATCGTAACAATATCATAACCATTATTCTCACATCGTCATCAATCGTATTATCCTATCCAAATGCGTCACTATTTCTCAAGTCTCCCCTCGGGTAGGCAGGTAGTTCGAGTCGACGGAATGGAAACTAATCTCTTTTAAATTAATGGAACCAAATTGCAGGATCCGAATTCATGAAGTCAGTCTGTGTCTTGCGGAAGGTATCAGGGATAGTCGTCGTGTTCTGTCCGTTAATCTGCAGGAGAACCTACAAAAGGCATCACCGGTGTCAACATCCTTTTCGTGAAATCAAGAGGAAGACATACCTGGTTCTTAGACGTGTATTGCTCCCATTTCGGGCCTAAGATATCAAAGAAATCCCTTCAACCGACACTCAAGGAGGCAATGCAAAGAGGAAAACTCACGCTGAACACCCTTCCCGTCATTAGGATCTAAGCCATTCGTGAACGATACCCAGTAATCAATGAAGTAGCTGCTAGCCGTATGTGCGGAGGTCGTTTTCTCAAGGGGCTTGTAGTAGAGCCCACCGTAGACGAATGTGAGATCAACAGCATGCGTTGCTGAATGTCAAGTGGGTAAATATCGCAACTTCACACAAAGGAAGAAACAAACGCACTGCCGAGAGCAGGGGGGTCCGCAAGCATAGGCTCAGTGAACAGATACCCGTAAGTCTTGACTCCGAAGTCGGCAGCGGCTTTCTGCCAGAATCTGCGCGGCGCCAACATCATCGCATCAGTAGCTATGCCACAACAACAGTCAGTTCGGGGTGAAACCAAGAAAGGAAAGGAAGGGAACGCACAGATCGCAGCCAACCGTTTGTACTGGCTCGAATACCCGAATGTCTCATTGCCAGTCCCGAAGGGTGCACCGAGCGCTGGAACATCGGGGTACAGCTGCAAGATCTTATCCACTGAGGCGTTTAGCGAAGCGGGGTTGTTGGAGGGGGAGGCGCCAGCGATGAGGCTCGCGCGAATTTGGTCCGTGGAGTTGATCGTCGGGGCTACGAAGAGTGTCCCTACATTCCCTCACTTCAGTTCATATTCTCCAGAGGCAAGAAAAATAAAATAACGCACCTTCATCAAGATTCGTCCCCGCAATGAATGGCAGTTTCGCGAAATGCCCCTTGGCATACAACTTAGACGGGTAATCTGGGATAAACCCGTCCGGCCCATCAAGCACTGGCATGAAGGGCGCGGCCGTGTTTGTCTCCACGTTGACGAGGGAAGCAAAGATCTCAGCGACGGGGGCCTCACGAATACAATCCCAGGTGTTATTCGTTGCGACAAGGTCGGCGCAGCTTGGGACGAGGGCAACGAAGCCGTCCCAATCAGATTGTTGATGCGTTGCAGGAAAGTTTCCTTTGAATGTCGAGTGTCCAGATTGGAAGATCTGAGGGTGGGTTGGTAAGGGTCGTTGGTGATAAATGACAGGGGCTTACTGCGGCCCTCGCATACTTCTCGAGGTTCGAGTTGAGGAAGAGGACGGATGTCATTATAGACCCTGCGCTCTCTCCAAAGACGGTTACCTGGATTGGAGATTAATGGCGTAATTATTATTAGCTTGGTGGTAGCCACTTACCTTTTTCTTGTCACCGCCAAAGATCCCGATGTTCTGCTGGACCCACTCGAGAGCGGTTACTTGATCCTTGAGTCCAAGGTTGAGCGCTTTATTATTAATGGCTAGACGATAATATGTTTGAGTCATACGGCTGACGCAAGGAGGATTACCCACCTTCTTGACCCTGAGGGAACCCAAGAGGGCCGAGACGATAGTTAAAGTTGACGTAGATGATTGGGGTACCCTAAATTGGAATGAGTACTTTCGTTAAGGGAAGGGTGAGAGGAGGAACGAACCCGAGTTATGCTCTGAGCGACGATTGCACTTCCGTTGAACATGTTTCCAGCACCTTGAATCATCCCACCGCCATGGCTAAGATATCATTGATTTAAGACGGGAAGAGAAAATATGTCTTGAAAAACTTACGTCCAAAACAACTGAACAAAAGACATCACTGAAAACGTCGACATCGAAAAAAAATGAAACCCACCACAGGTAATTTGGCATCAGAACTAATCCCAGCCGGACGATAAACATTGATAGTCATGCAATCCTCGTCAACTTCATCAGCAGTAAGATGCTTTGGCTAATGACACCTAATATCAGCATAATCGATCGCGAGGCAGCACAGACTTACATATTGCAAGCAACCCTTGCCAAAATTTGTCGCGTTGAACGTAGCGACGTTCAGGTGCGTTTTTAACACAGGAGGCCTGAGGCGAAGCGGACCAAGGGGAGGTTCAGCATAAGGAATAGCTACAATTTATACATCAACAAATCGTCAAGCGACCATGCGAATGACAGTACCTCCAAAGAACTCGACCTTCGACGCTGTGATAGCCCTCCCGACAAGCGTTGTCTTCCCCAACTTGACGCGGGGAACACCGTCGTTTGTGGTGGGCGCAGCGAACGTTGACAGAGAGTAGAGCGCCAACACGTAGGAGATGGAGAGAAGCATCTTGTCCGAAGCCTGGGGTCCGAAACCAACGAGTGGGGAGATTTTATAGTGTTAGTTTCGATCTCAGATTTTCCTCGTGCCACTCGGGATAGATCGCAAGGTATGGAGTGAGATTCACCTCCTGAGCAAACGCGTTAGTCAACCAAATTCAACCAGGGCAATTTCGCAAGCTCTTACATGATTGGATCGTTGTCAACGTAGGGAAGTGGCATCGACTTTTCAAACGTTATAGCCGGACGTATAGCTACGTATAGTCTCGTATAGTAAGCGTATGGCGCATAAGAGAGCAAGCGAGACGTTCCAGAGCATGGTGGTAAGAAGGGATAAATTTAGACTCCGAAGTAAGGCTCAACAGTTTTGCTTACGTAAGTAAGCGCTTTTTCCTTCGAAAATCGAGCTTCTTGTTTATAATTTTCAGTTCGTTTGCACATCCTTGACTGGAGAAATTTCATGAACATACTCACTTCCCCTTACACATAGGGGTGCAATTCTTTTCTCCCGGCATGGCCCTCCAATATACATTGTGACTAACCGTGCTAATCTAATTACCTCCTCTTCAGTCGGACCGGGCTTCCGATGTGGCGTGAGGAATCAATAATAATCTCTCTGACTACCTACTGTGTCAGCCCTCACGAATGACGTATAAAAATCCCTGAAGTTATTCAAAGCAGTGTATACGCATTTCTAAAATCTACCCTTCAGCCAGCGTCTTAAGTGGGAAAGACATAAATTTTCATCTTATTTGGCTGAAATGCTCAAAGCTTGGTGCGTAGTATGTAACAACATTATAAAATGATTAGTTGAACGTTGATGGCCCACGGGCCACAACGGGACAAATTTTCGAATTTGAATTACCGGAACTTTCTTCCGATGTGGGGAATCATTCGCATGTGGGGTATGCTTGGGGTATGCTTGAACGTTGATCGTGATCAAGGTGCCTGAGTGTTCAACGTTCAACCACCCGTTTGCGTCTGGATGGATGAATTACAGTACATTGTGTGAAGTACAGGTTACAGAAAAAGGAAATACAATGGTAGACATGTGGAACAAATAAAAGGCGTAAATTCTTGCATTCTCACGGTCTTTCAGAGACGCATCTTCAATAAGTTGTAATGCTATGAAAACCAAATAATCAATGCGAGCAAGAAGGGCCTTGATTTCTTAATGGTTCTCTAGGGGCATTAGTGTAGACGACACATCGCGGCTCGAGGCCACTCCGAATTCCGCTAATTTATCTTTATGGTCTATCGTCTTCGACCGATGCGTATCTAGAATTTTACTCTCACGTCCAGAAAAGTGGAGGGATACTCTAAGATAAATTTATCAGTGTGCGGGTCTGAAATGCCGCCCCACGACCAGGCGGTACGCTGGAATTCTGTTGTTGCGATGATTATATCGAGGCCAACGGTAGGATTGGTGGCGAGTCAACAATACGGTACTAGAAGTACACAGGCAAGCGAAATGATTTGAGTTACAGTCGCGGACAGCCAAAGTCAACTAATTTTGTGATCGTGATGTGAGGACCCTGCACAACCTTCAATAGTACTTTTTATTGCAGAAACGTGAAGATTAGGACTCAATGCTTCGATTTCCACGAGCCGATTTTTCAAAATCGATGAAATGAGAAATTTTACCCCCAAAATATTGGCCGGCCCTCAAATGGACCCCTAAAATCATGAAAAATAGTGCAATCGACTCCTTTTTTAGTTCTGCATCTGATCCTGGACTTTGGGAAAATTCTGATGAGCCGTTGTTGTAGAAAAAAATGATTTTAAACTACCTAAAATGGCAATTCAGGGTCTTCCCACCCCCATGGACCCTCAATGAACCCTGTCCTTTTGACCCCCCTCCTCTTCCCACCTTTAGCAGATTGTATATTACTGATTTCCAATCAGAATTACAATGTTTGGCAAGTGCCACTAAATTTTTCGGTCACCTCCGGCATTGGGAACCTGCCAAGGGGGTCTTAAGAGCCGCTGAAGAGCCTTACCGGATGACAAAAGTAGTCCAAAATTTTGGCCAACCCAATTTCTCGTGGGAGAAACTTCAAAGAGGTGTTTTTGGACGTATTTTCACATCCTGAGTTCGAATCTGAAGTCAGAATGTCAAAATATTTAGTCCTTCCCGAGATATCAACTTGGTTGACTTTGGCTGTCCGCGACTGTACATACATAAGACGAGCTGAATATCAATTCTAGGTAGTCTTACGAGATCTGACGATAACTGCAGGGTAAAACAATTTGACGCGGAGCAGAGGAGGATTAACCATCAACGGACAAGAACGTTACGAAACAGAAAAGAATCCAGGGTTTGAAGGCTGTAAAATAGAACAACGCTACGACTAGCGTTGATCTATGTTTCAGTCCCCTAGATAAGAGAGTAAGGCAACGCCGAGCTGCTCAAAAAGAAACGTACCAGAACATCGACGTGTTCAAGCACGAAGTAGACGAGAGAAGTTTGCCGTCAAGTCGTTGAAATTACCCTGAACCTTCTGCATATTAGCCAAACCACACACCTCGCTCTCAATATGTTGGACAAGTGCTGAGATTACCGTAAAGTTCCTTTGGCACTTTGGGCACCTGAATTCGTCGGCGTCGTGGGCCGGCGAAGCCAGGTGCGCGTTAAGGCTGGTAAGGAGTCGAAAGCCCTTGTGGCATAAGAAGCATTCGTACGATGTTCCATTGAACGATTGTTCCGTCGCAATATAAGTCGAAATCGTGGGCGGGCCTGAAGAAGGGAGAAGCCGGCTGATGCATATGTCGGGAACAATCTTGAGCTTCTTCACTGCTGCGGTGACTTGGTGGCGAGTGATCTTATGGCAACCGGACTCAATGTGCTGGGCAATAGCGGAAGGAGCCTTGAACGTGTTCGCACAGAAGGGGCATTTGAAGGATCGATTGGCATGCGCCAGCTTCGATGAATTATGCTAAACAAAATACTAAGCGTTGTTCATACAGTGTGAAGGAGGGGTAGGACGAACTTGCGCTAGCGCGGTCTCCGAGCTGAAATCCCTAGAACAAATAAAGCACCAGTTATGCTTTAGGCTCGCAAACAGGTGTTGGTATAAGGTATCGAGGTCGATAAACCAGCGACCGCACCCCCTGCAGTAAGGCTCCTCATCGTCAGATGCATCACTGCCGTCGTCGCTGGAAGAATCAGAATCAGCGTGCGCAGGAGACGCATCGAGATGCTACAAAGGGTAGTGAGCGGCGTCAGCCTACTATGGGAGTCAATGGTGGATTACGTACCTGTGCCAGCGCTGCACTGGAAACGAATACACGATCACAATCGATGCATCCATGAAAGTCATGGGCTTTCGCACGACAATGCGATGAGAGGGCTGTAATAGCAGCGAAAGCGCGCGGACAGTCCCTGCAGTCGAAGGTCATAGAGGATAACAAGGGAAAGAGAAGGGAACGAGGTTCATATTATCGTGAACAAAGGTACGACTTCACATAATATCGAAGTCTGTCTAGGAGAGACTAGGAACGAGGCCGTTCTCATGCTTGTCACCTTATAAGTAGAGCAATGGGGCTTGCCGCAAGTCATCAACATTTTAAAGTTCCGCAAACGACAACCTTTTTGCAGGATGTCGAAAATCAGCTTGAAGCAGACTCGGGGTAGGTTTGTACTAAGACCGTCCACGCGTCCACGTTGAGCTTAAAGAGAAAGGGGCGTGATACCGAGTAAACGCAACATCGTGAAAACTTCACACATATTAAGTCGGTTACAACTTTACAAGACTCATAAGTTCAAACTTTTCACATTGCTTTTCCAGTGTGTTCTCTTTTACTTGAGGCACTTGGTAACCAAAGGAACATAGTCATCAAGGCCGCAGGTAAGCGACACAATTATTGATAATGATGGAAATCGGTTTCATTGGCACTTGAGGGAATTTCTTCGTATACACCTGACGAATTATTTGTGCATTGGACTTCTACATGATATGAATTCAAACAATATATATTCTTTCAGAGTCATTAATAGCCGTAAACAGATGTGAGGTGAAGAAATAAGAATGTCCAAAATGAAGCTGTAACGACAGTGTGAGTGACTACGATTCGGAGCCAGAGAGATCAGTGTCCAAAACGTTCATGTTCAATATGTATACGTAGATCTGTTCAAAAAGCCACGTCAGAAAGCGCTTGGGAAGTAAGGAGTAAAAAACTGACGGAGTAGCAGACGGAGCGGGACCCTTCGGAGGAAGCGTAGAAGTGCACTGAAAAAAAAAAACGTGAGAACGAAGGAAAACATTGAAGGCATTGAAGCCTTCACACCTCCTGTGGAACACCTGTCCCTTTAACAACCGATCCCGCTGGAGACTTGGAAGGAGTGTTGTTGCCCTGTGGGACGGTAGGAACGACGGAAGGAACGGCGGGTCCTGCAGAGTAATTCGGTGCCGGAGCAACTGGGCCGTTAGTCGACGCTGGAGAAGCTGGGCCATCAGATGGGGCTGGGCCAACAGGGGGAATGCCTGTGGATGAGCTTGGTTGTCCCGCGGGAGGAGCAGCGACATATGCCGGACCCGTTGTAGCTGGACCGTTGGTTGGTTGAGGTTTCACATCAACTGGGGCAAGGGAACCTGGCTTGGTATCATTTGGTGCTGGGCCATTGGTGGATGGGGAAGAGTACGTTGCAGGACCTCCTTGAGCTCCAGTGGATGCAGGACCATTGACAACAGGGACAGTCAATGACGCGGGAGGAGCGATAAGTCCTCTCTGAATTTTAGGATCAGTCGGAGCGTTGCTGCCAGTGGGTGGGGGAGAGTATGGCGCGGGACCTCCTTGAGCTCCAGTAGGCGCGGGACCATTGACGGGAGGGAGAGACGACGATGCAGGAGGAGGAAGAGGTCCTCCTGGCGCGTTGCTGCCAGTGGGTGGTTGAGAGTATGTTGCGGGACCTCTTTGAGTTCCGGTAGGTGCAGGACCGTTGGCAAGAGGGATAGTCAATGATGCGGGCTATCAGAATTCAGTAAAGAGGCCAACATGCAACAAGCTCACAATTATTTCATACGATAAGGCTTTGAAATGGTTTGAGATATGACGATGGAGTGTCGCAATTGGCCCGTTTCTTTCCAAGGTGACGTCCTCGGCCTCAGTTCTTCGCCCTGGAGCACCGCCAGGATTATCCAAGAATGCGATCAGAAATACGGCCGTATATCTTACATTTATGCGCTCGCTGGTTGTCCTAACCAAAATAGGCGCCCACGCTGGGGAATGATTCATAGGTTGCTCCTCTCCGCCAAAAGCGTGGTGAGTCGGACTTGCCAGGTGCGCGTATGGTGTAAGCAAATCGCCAAAAAAGCGAGACACATCGCACTTTGCGCCGAGCCAAGAACAGTTGTCGTTTGTGATGACGTCATACCCATGGGTGACGCCGACAACAATGATCGACTTTCCCCCAGTCAGGATGAGGTAGTCGGCATTGGACTTGCAACCGCGAACGCGGGGTTAGCGTTGGATTTATTAGGCTTGTTGCCAGTGGTCATTAATCAATGCTGACGCGCTGAAGATGGGAGGGAAAGAGAATCGATGGGATCTATAAGAAAACCTGAGGTCTTCACCTTGACGAGGGAAGGAAAGATCTCACCAACACGGGCTTCACGACGAGGGGAACGAAGCCGTGCCAAGCGGATTGTTTATGCCTGTGGATGCCAAACAAATACATGAGGACTTCAACCATATCTCGCTCCAGACTGTGACGTGTCGCATCGTTCCCCATGGAATCTATCAAAGCAGATGGAGAACTCGCCGCTGAGATGGTCGCCCTTCTCGGGAAGGAACTCAAAGTCGCTCGGAAGAGGATTCAAGAATTGGAGGAAAATCAGGTGCCCCATATGATCTCATCTACGAATCTATATTGAGGCAAACCGTGCATATAGACCGATGTAATTGAACTTACAAAGCGAGCCGAAGGGGCAGAGACCGCGATGAAGATTTTGAAGAAGTGTGCTGAGGACGAGAGAGCGGAGAAAGAGCGGTATCGTCAGTTAGCGAACCAATGCAAGAAGGTAAGAATTATAGCTCAACCTGGTAGAACTAGTCTCACGTCATGAACCGATCATACAGGAGCCAGGAGACAATAGCCTTCTACTACTACAGGACAACAATCAGGTGCACAACGCATGTAGGAATATCGATTGCGAATGCTGAATATCAATCAGATCCAAGAGACGGAGAGATTGAGTGAAGAAAAGGTGAGTATCCTTCAACCCGTGCTCAGTATATAGGTTGAACTTCCCGCTAGGATGAAAAGATTGCAGCGTTGGAGAAATCCGTCGAAAAGTATCGTGAAAAGTACCAAAAAGCACGCGAAGCAAAACAGCGATTGCAGGAAGTAAGGACTACCATCCTATATGAAACAAGATCTAATAAAAGGTCTCAGAGATGCGATGAACAAGAAGAAAAAATCAATTCGCTTACGGATCGAAAAGATGCTCCTTCCCAATGTCAGGCATGTGATGAAGTTGTGTCCAGGTCTGGGTCAACGGTCTGCCAACTCGCCGATGGTTTGAGCGCTTTTTACTCATCTCTCACTGCGTGCGTAGCGTGAACCACGCCACATGCTCAACAAAAGGATTGGCTGTCTTCCGAAATACATCGGCCGCTCAAACTTCGAAGACATCCTCCCCGTTTGTCACAAAGGTGTCGACTTACGCTCCTATCTCGATGCAGTGAGTTTAAGGTTGTCTTAAACAAACTCATTATCACTAATTGCCGGAATCTTCAACCAGGACCCTCAATCTTCACCGTTTGTACCGTTTCGCTGCGCTTTTTTTTAAAATCGTTCATCCACCTTAGATGTACTAAGAAAATGTTGTATGTTCCCGGCCGTCTGACATGGTGTACAGCATCGAAGCACCACGCTCTCGCCTTTGGACCCATGTTCGCGGTAGATTCGGAGAAAATGATATGGAAAGAAAATTCCGTTTTCAACTCTTTATACGGTCAAACTGTTGAATTGTTCTATAACTGCAAAGACCTCATATACTACGGTGGTCAATACAAATGTCACAACAATCGGCAAAACAACCCAGACGGCGATCTCGTCCAAAAAGAAACGGTCAGTTTTTTTCTCGTGTGGTCTATTGATTCTGACAAGAATGCTAATTTTTTCCTCGCGTTTTTAGTCAGCCTTCGAACTGGCAGATGTTACGATCACGGTCAACTCAGGCCCGGGAAAGCAAGAGGCTCTAAGGAAAATGATTTTTCACCTATACATTGGAGGCATCCTCAAGACGGAGATCTTGGGCCTCCAGTGCGTTGGGTTCGACGATGAGCTCTACAACACACTTGTGAAGCGATTCAACATGAATAACCCGTCGTTGAAGCGCGGAGGATCACATCGGTTGGACTCTGACAGAAAGGTCAAGAGAGCGAAAGCAGGTGGTAAATTTTAAGTACCATTGCATAGTTATGGTGTACATCAACCCCAAATGCGAATAGTCGTCAGTACTTCCATCAATTCGTCCTCAAATTCCAGCTGAGTACGAAGACGGACATTTCATGGATCCTTCATTTCAAAATTCTTTTTTTTTCGTGTCGAGAAATTGGAGCGAAAAGAAACTGTTCGAGTGGACTCCGATAGAAAAATCAAGAGAGCAATTTCAGTAATCGTCTTTCAGTGATCGTTTCAATACATGGTTATCATATACATAACCCCCAATCATTTGTTTTATAGTCGCTTCGAACTTTTATCAACTCGTCCTCAAAGAGGGGCATTTCATCAAATCTCTTAGGGATGACCCTTCCCTTTCAGTATCCTTCCTTATCCGTGTTGGGGAGCTCATCAGGTTCAGTAGCGACTGGTACACAACTCAAGAGGACTCTCCTTGGACCAGAACCACATGGCACCCCGACTAGGAACCCGAAATTTTTTCGGATACCAGTCGAGAATCGACCTCAAAACGAGCCCTGGTCTACATACAATCCATAAGATTTCTATATTGTCTACAATAACTACTAAAAATAAGCCTAGATCATGTCTGGGGCTGGAGGAAAGTCCAGAAGCCAGACGGTTTCGTCTCAAAAAGTCAAACCAACAGCCACTCGGCAAAACCAAACGGCTGAAGCGGAGACACAGGAAAGAAGCAAAACGAGGGCTGCAGGGGCGGTGGAGATAGACGAAGGCGATCAAGAAGTCGGCAACACGGAGAAAGGGAGGGCGTACCTCGAGGAGAAGATACTCCTTGTTCCGGAAGGAGCGCAACTCAGTCTGTACGCGCTCACGACAGCTCTCTTCCAGATCGCAGCTCTACCAGGCATCGGTCGACCTGTGATCAATGCAGTCCGCGCAGTCGCCTTTCTGCTACAGGAGGTGGAGACGGCGGAAATAGCAGCTGACATCAGGAATATAGCCAACGAGCAGTTCAACGAGATGACCAACGATTTGAAGGAGATCGCGGAGGGACTCAAGGAGAAGGTAATGGGAGAGCTGGAGGAGAAAGCTGCTGTGCTGGAAAGGAAGACGGCAGAGTTGGTCGGAGTGGCAGATAAGGTGATGGAGCAGGTTGGGAGTGCAGGAGGTGCTACGTACAGGGACACGGTGCTACGGGCGAACTCTGGGGCACCACTGGACGCGAACCCTTGGCTGGCGGCAAAGGAAAGCATTCGGCAGCGGCAGTCACTCATCGACTTACCCAAGGAGTCCAAGCTGAGGGACTGTGCCAGCACGGTCCTAGCAGGCAAGTTCTCGGAGGCCATGGGCAAGGCGACAGTGCACCAGCATAAGATCAGAACATCGTTGAAGTTACAGAACGGGGGCGTCTTGGTGGAGATGGTCACAGACGAGGGAGCAGCGTGGTTGGCGTCCAAAGCTAATGCAGAGGCCTTCCTGCGGGAGCTAGGGGAGTCAGAGGCCTCGTTTAAGACGAGGTCCTTTAACATTGTTGCCTATTATGTGCCGCTCAACCTCGATACTAACAGTTCTAAGGATAGGAAAGAGATAGAAGAAGCGAACAGAATGCCAGAGGGCATGCTAATGAAGATCAGGTGGATCAAGCCCCTGACACACAGGCGGCCAGACCAACGATTCACTCACATCATTGCCACCTTCTCGGACGCGGAGACGGCCAACAGGGCAATAGTGAACGGTTTATCCATCTGCCACAAGAGGGTATCGGCAGCGAAGTGCAAGAAGGAGCCCATCCGTTGTCTCAAGTGCCAAGGCTGGGATCACATCGCCGCAGAGTGCGATGTCGCAAAGGAGGTAAATATATGCGGAACGTGTGGAGGGAAGGACCACTGGACCAGCAAATGCGAGGCACAGGGGGTCACCTATTGCACCTCATGCAAGACAGACACCCACACCAGCTGGGATCGTGGTTGCCCGACTTTCCTCAGGAAGGTGGACGAGCTGAATGCCAGAGACCCTGCAAACGACATACCGTTCTTCCCAGCAAAGGAAACCTGGACATGGTCCCCATCCTATCCCTCGCAAGGTCGCAGGGTCCCACCCCCAACTGACATTCAGGTCAACTATGCCCAGGCAGGCTCGCAAAGAAGCAGGTACCGACAAACACAGCTCAACTTCGACCAGGCTGCCCCAGGTGGAAGACCGTACGCCAGGGAGGCCAGGGCGCGCCAACGGTCCAAGGCACCAGCAGATAAGTCTCCCCCTCCTTCGTTCCCTAACCCAGAGTCCCCAATAGCTCCGCCGGCATCGAGCAACAGATCGCCGCCCCCCGATAGCGCCCCCACCTTGACCGTGACCCATGTCTGAACAACTGGAACCAACGCCGACTAGATTACGGATACTGCAGGTCAACCTTAACAAGTCTCAAAGGGCGCATCTAGAGCTGTACAACAGGGTATCGGGAAAGGAATGGGACATTGTGTTGGTGCAGGAGCTGCATATAACTTTTACAGGAAATATCAGAACACCAAACGGCTATGTGGCGGTAATGCCAATGGACCGATTCAAGGATGGGGCGCCAACAACGAGGGCGGTGACGTGGGTTAGCGCAGCGCTGGCAATGAAGTCGTGGAAGATTATGAACGTGCCAGGAACTAACGACGTCACTGTCATTCAGCTAGCAGGAGCGTATGGGCGGCTGACGGTTATCAACATATACAACGATTGTGGACACTCAAGAACGCTACGCACGGTCTGTGAGTTCTTACGCACAAACCGAACGGAGGTCATGTCAAGACAGGATGATCACCTCTACTGGGCAGGCGACTTCAACAGACACCACCCCATGTGGGACGACGAGTCGGACAACAGGCTCTTCACGGCCAAGGCATTGGAAGATGCAGGGAAGCTGATAGAAATATTGGCTGACCTAAATCTGAAGATGGCATTACCGAGGGGACAACCGACTTTGGAACATATGGTAACCAAGAAGTACTCACGGCCTGACAATGTATGGTGTACAGAAGATGTCTATGACTTGATAATCCGATGTGAAGTTGACCCTTCACTTCGTCCGCCAGCTACTGATCACTTTCCCATAGCCACATACATCGACTTGCCGCAAGCGCGTTCAACCCCACGTGTTTCCTACAACTTCAGGGCCATGGACTGGGAAGACTTTCAAGAAAACCTGGCAGCCCGATTCCTCGAAATGCCGCCTCCACAGCCGTTGACGATGGAACAACAGTTTCGACAGTCAGCTGAAGACCTCACGGCGGCGATCCAGGATACGATCAGGACCAGGGTTTCAGAAAACAAGCCATGCCCATTCTCCAAAAGATGGTGGAACAGCGACCTCAGCCGGCAGAAAACCACCATAAAAAAGCTAAGTCGCCTCGCATACAAGTTCAGAGCCTTGCCAGATCACGCATCTCACACAGAGCTACGTGAGGCTAGGAACGCGTACGGAGGGGCAATTGTTGATGCAAAGAGAGGGCACTGGGAAGAGTTCCTGGAGAACGCGGCGGAGCAAGACCTGTGGACGGCAAACAAGTACTTCAAGGAACCAGTCGGGGATGGGGGTAAGTCTCGCATACCAACACTCAAGATCCCTGGGGAGGGCGATGGCGCCTTACCACGGGAAGTCAACACAAACGAAGGTAAGGCGGAGGTCCTGGCACAGATGTTCTTCCCCAAGAAGCCGGATCGTTCCAGGGTCCCAGAGAACTATGTGTACCCAGAACCGCTTCCACCACCGCCGCCCATCTCCCAGGAGCAGATTGAGCGCCAAGTCAGGAGGCTCTCCCCCTTCAAGGCCAGCGGCCCCGACGAAATCCCTAACGTGGTACTACAGAAGTGTTATGAGCAGATCGCGGAATACCTGCTACACCTGTTCAGAGGCGTTTTCGCGCTAAGGACCTACTATGCAGGATGGCAGGAGTTCACCACTGCGGTGTTGAGGAAGCCAGGCAAGCCCAGCTACGAAGTACCGAAGGCGTACCGCCCGATAGCCCTGTTGTGCACCATTCCTAAGGTACTGACGGCGATAGTGGCGGAAAGCATCAGCCACCTGGTGGAGAAGAACACCCTGCTTCCTGACACACATTTTGGCGGAAGACCGGGTCGCACGACAACGGACGCCATTCACTACCTGGTTGACAGGATAAAGTCAGCCTGGGGTAAGAGAAAGGTCGCCTCCGTGCTCTTCTTAGACGTCGAGGGGGCCTTTCCGAATGCGGTCACTGACAGACTAATACACAACTTGAAGAAAAGGCGAATCCCAGTGGCATACGTGAAGTTTATCGAGCGGCTGCTACAGGGGAGGAAGACCAAGCTCAAGTTCGACGATTTTGTCTCCGAGCTCATTGAAATCGCAAATGGGATAGGACAGGGGGATCCAATTTCGATGCTCCTCTACATATTGTACAACGCTGACCTATTAGAAGCCTTGAGGCGGTTGGACGAAGACGCCATTGGCTACGTGGATGACGCCCTCGTCATAGCAACGGCCAAAACACTCAAGGGGACGACTAGGGCACTCAAAAGTTACATGGAAAGGAAGAATGGCGGATTCGACTGGGCGCAAGACCACAACTCCACCTTCGAGATCAGCAAGGTCGCCGTGATGCACTGTCAGCCAAACGCAAGAAAACCCGACGATCGCCCTAACCCGGTACTTCGACTTAGAGGGAAGGTGATAAAAGAGGTGGACAGCTACAAATACTTGGGAGTACATGTGGATGGTCAGCTGAGGTGGAGAACACAGGAGAACGAGGCGATAGCAAAGGCAACATCCTATGTTCTTATGTTCCGCAGGCTAACCCGCACCAACATAGGTATCCGGCCCAGGCTCATGCGTCTTCTTTACATTTCGGTGGCCATCCCGAAGATGACGTACGCATTGGACGTCTGGTATGTACCTCCGCACAAGAAGGAGGGCATGAGAAGGAACAGCGGGTCAGTAAGGGCGCTGAAGTCCATGGGTAAGATACAGAGGATAGCCACGCGGGCAATCACAGGGGGAATGTGGACCTCGCCCAACGACCTGTTGGACGCCCACGCTGGCGTTTTGCCAGTGAACCTAATGCTCGAACGTGTCTGTCACGCGGCAGTAGTGCGAGCCTCAACGCTCCCGAGTGGTCACCCGATAAGGGATATGCTCAGAGGGTACAGTAGGACGCCAGCGAAGACTCACCGTTCTCCTTTACAGAAACTAATCGAATGCTTCAAGATCAAGCCACAGCGTTTCGAAACCATCATGCCAGACCCCAGGCCGCCAACCTACAGAAGAGCTTTTACGACCAAGATCGCAGAATCGAAGGAGGTGTCAATCAAAAACGAAGGAAAGGATGAGTCAGAGATTCGTATATACACAGATGGATCAGGCTATGAAGGGAAAGTGGGAGCAGCTGCGGTCCTGTACAGGAAGGGGGTTGAGGAGCCGGAAAGGATACTTCGATACCACCTGGGATCGCTAAAGAGGCACACGACGTTCGAGGGGGAAGCAGTAGGGTCGATTCTGGCAGCATGGATGTTACAAGGGCAGAAGGAGGTGGGAAATTCGGCGGCAACCAGCTATACGGACAGTCAGGCTTTCATCAAGGCAACGGGGGCACGGAAGACTGGGCCAGGGCAACACCTGGTTCTCGAGTATCTCAGGCTAACAGACGTTATGACAGATGGGACTGACGATCACATCCCTCCAGCAGGAACAGCAAAGTTTGCGTTGATGTGGGTGGCAGCGCACAAGGGTGTGAAGGGCAACGAAAGGGTTGACGAGGAGGCAAAGAGGGCAGCACAGGGAGAGTCAAGCCCACCAGAGGATCTACCGCCAATACTCCGGGAGCGCTTGCCCACCAGCGCCACTGCAGTGAAGCAAGGGTTCGCGGAGAAGCTGAAGAACAGGTGGCTCGAGACCTGGAAGGCCTCGCCTCGATATGCAAGGTTCCAACACGTTGACGCGAACTTCCCGTTCAATAAATTCAGGCGGACTAGCGAAGTTTTGTCCAGATCACAGGCGAGCTTGCTAACACAGTTGCGCACAGGGCATATACCGTTGAACAGCTACCTATACCGCATCAAGAGGTCAGTCACCAGCCGGTGTGAGTTGTGCTGGGGGACCGGTCGATTGACGATAACGGAGACGGTGGTACACTACCTGTTTGAATGTCAGGCGTACGCGGCAGAGCGTTACGATATGGATAGAGCCCTAGGGCGCTACTCGAGGGACCTTAAGGCAATACTGGCGAGCTTGGACAGGATAAAGGAGCTGCTTCGCTATGTGGGGCGGTCGGGGAGATTCAAGAACACACTAGGAGATGCCATAGGTGACGTCTCTCAACTGGATTCCGAGGATGATTGACAGGTAGCACTCTTCTTACAGGGATTGTTCCATAAGCATGAAGCAATAACGGCCAAACTGGCCCACAGTCAGAGGGCTCGCCCTCAACACCCCACCCTACCATCTATTCTACCCGCACCTCAGCCTTTGCGGATCTCAAGCTCAAAATCAAACGATGCCAGCCCGAATATATTCAAAGTCACACTCTAGAAAACAGCAACACACCAAAACAAACTTTCTCATTCACCTGATCGCGCTCGTCCCATACAGCTGTACCTATCGCTAATGCGGTCGGGTACTTAGAAGACAAAACACATGACCGATGGAATGCACAGTTAAGCAGAGAGAACGAGGCTACCCCGCTCGCTATATAGATGCGTCCCTAAATGGCGTTTCTGTGCCGGGCTGTGTGGGGGAATTGTCGCCATGGGCGTGCCTCCACCAGTGCAAGGGACGGTCTCCTAGGGGGTCAGGAACACAGGCATTAGGGGCCTTAGGTAGTCTACAAAGTTGTAAGGTCTGACATGGGGCTCTGCCCCAATAGACTTAAATCTGACACAAAAAAAAAAAAAAAAAAAAAAAGAAGACATTGACCGCCTCAGTCTTGCTCCCGGTGTTCGCGTCGCATTGCGAGACCCACGCGACGACCAGGCGCTTGCAATTATTACAGGTACATCGTGGTTTTCCTATTCTCTGCTGAAAGCTGAAGAAGTCATTGCCTGTTGTTAAGTGGACGATGTATATACGCCGGACCGCGTGAAGGAAGCGATGCAATTCTTTGGGGCTGACGACCCAGCTCATCCTTTGGTTGGTTATCTTCGCAATCGTGTACAAGACTTTTACATTGGCGGAAAGGTGCAAGCCATTCAATTGCCCACACATTTCGATGATGTTGCCCTCCGCTGTATGTTCTTGAGCATGTGAAGGCCAATCTGGCGCTGACCATGTGGCAGACACCCCCTCGGAATTGCGCTACCACTTCAAGAAACTCGCGTGGAGAAAAGTTGTCGCTTTCCAGACACGCAATCCAATGCATCGTGAACTTACGGTCAGGGCTGCCTGGCAGCATCAAGCTGTAGGTTGTCGCGATCTGCGTTCGTAGCTCATTTTTGACGTCTTTTTGCAGAATGTTCTTATTCATCCCGTCGTTGGCTTGACAAAACCGGGCGATGTTGACCATTACACTCGTGTTCGTGTTTATGAACCTATCATGCAAAAATATCCCAATGGTATGGGACATCTTGCCCTTTTACCCCTTGCTATGCGTATGGCGGGACCACGAGAAGCAGTCTGGCATGCTATTATACGCAAGAATTACGGAGCAACTCATTTCATTGTTGGTCGCGATCACGCTGGACCCGGTAAAAACTCCCAAGGGAGGGATTTCTATGGGCCTTATGATGCTCACGATCTCGTCCTCAACTATCACGATGAGCTTCAGATCGAGATGGTTCCCTTTCAACAGATGACGTACCTTCCTTCGACGGACGAATACCAACCAGCGGACGAGGTACCCAAAGGCGTCCAAACCTTGGACATTTCGGGAACGGAATTGCGAAAACGTCTAAGGACGGGTTGCGCCAATACCAGACTGGTTCAGCTACGAGTAAAGCCCCCTTTTAACTACCTTATCTCCGAGCTAAGCTTCTATCCTAGCGCCGTTGTTAAAGTTCTCCGTGAAAGCTACCCTCCTAGGAACAAACAAGGATTTGTGCTGTTTCTAACTGGTCTTCCAACTCTGGGAAAGACGCCATCGCCAAAGCTCTCCAAGTAACATTGAATCAACAAGGCGGACGTAGCGTTTCGCTCCATCTCGGAGAAACAGTTCGACAAGAACTTTCGCCGGGTCAGTCTACCATATTTATTTAATCATTCGCTAAACACGTCTTGACCTCCAGACCTGGGGTTTTCCGCGGAGGACCGTCACCAAAATGTTCATCGCATCGCATACGTATCCGCAGAACTCGCTCGATCTGGTGCTGCAGTAATAGCTGCTCCGATTGCTCCATATGAACGTCCCCGCGAACTTGCGCGACAGACAGTACTACAATCCGCTGGTTCGGGTGGAAATTTTTTCTTGGTTCATGTCGCAACGCCTCTTGAGCATTGTGAGAAGACGGATCGTAGGGGCTTGTACGCTCGAGCACGTCGAGGCGAGATTACAGGGTTTACTGGGGTTGACGACCCATACGAAGTGCCAGAGCAAGCAAAATTAGCGGTAGACGTGACAAGGCAAAGTATACCAGAGATTGTACACTCATGCTGGAAACAGAATCACTACTCTAGATCTAGACATATCTCATCCTCACGCGCACCGTTCAATGAAGAAATTCAAGGAATCGTATCTATTAGTCCGTCGAGTCGACGGACTAATAATATCATTTATTCGATGTATACCTCTTTTTTCTCTTCTCTGCGGGAGCGGGAGAGTGAAGATTGCAGAGGACCGCGGAAAAGAAAATAAAAGAAAAGAAAGGAGGAAGGTAGGAAGGGTGTAGTTTGAAAGGAGGGAGGAACAGGGAGAAACGGAGAAAAGAGAACGCAAAAGGGGCGGAAAGATCGAGGAGGACAGGGCAAAGTGAGAGATATAGGTCGAAAGTGAGAGGGAAAGACGACGGGGAGGGAGACGGGGAACGAGGGAGAGTGGAGGAAGAATATAGGCAAAAAAATAAGGTCTTCGAGTATATGATTATCTCTCTGTCTGGGAGTCGAACCCAGCTTTCGCGCGCATCAATGCGTATGACAGGCGCGTGTACTAACCGATATACTAACAAAGAGGTTAATGTGAAAGAAGGAAGACAGGTCGAGAGGCAATGGAGAGACAGTTCGAAGAGGAAAGAGAAGAAAGGGAGAGTGGAAGATAGCAAAACGATACATGGCAAAAAATGGCGACGAAACGGCGGGGAAGAAGAGAAGCGCATACAAGTAGAAAGGAAACCGCACAACCGACCAAAGTAAAGGGAAGACAGGGGGCGCACGAAACGAAAACGCGTGAGAAAGAAAGGAAAAGAAAACGTACGTTGAGTCTTCCGCTCCCTCTCAAGCGTCTCTTCCACCCCCAGGAGCCAGTGCAGCCTTCACGTACCTCTTCACCTCTTTTATTTGGTCTACACCGCGACGGTGATAGTCCACTCTGCCATCGGATTGAGATGGGTGGCTTGTTCCGTCGATGAGTTTGCGGTTGGCGTTGAGCTCCGCCATGGGTTTCGCTTCACTTCCCCTTGAACTTGCGGCTGATGGGGTGGTGTAAACATTGTTGGTCTTAACCTGCGTGAACATGAAAATCTTTCGTCCCAACCGCTCCCTCGCATCACGCACCCGTCCTCTCAGCCTTCGCCTCTCTGGAAAGGCACATGCTGCGCGTGCTCGAGTGATGGGTCGCGCGTGTGATTGCGAGCCATTCGGGGTCGAATGTTAATTGTACTGAAAAGCAGGGGGAGGACGTGGGGGGGTTGAAGTCGATTACCTGCGGGAAGGAAGGAGTGGAGGTCAGCAAGGGAGAGGAAAGTGGGAAGGGGGGGTGGGAATAGGTACCTCGAGGAAGTCGCGCCCCGGGAGACATTTATCCAGCGCTAGAAACTTTGTCGTTCGATCATTGTCTTGTATCTCCTTCTCCTGACCTACCTCAGCCTTCTGACTCTGCTTCCCCTCTGCCCCCTATGCGTCCCCTCCGCTTCACCTTTGCCTCAAACCTCTCATGCATATGTCCCGTGAACCACCATTTCGGTATGAGGGTCTTTAGCAGTATCATCAACGGCGGAGACCCCAACGTGTCCGCGTCAACGGAGGCGCCGAATCCAGGTCTAAGTTTGAGTAGAACTTTGAGGTTTCCGTGGGGTTCGATTGGTTGGAGCCAGTCGTTGTATTGCCTAGTGGGGTATATGCTCCGGATGGAGGGTTGGTCGTATGGGAGGCGTTCGTAGTACTCTTGAGTCCTCGCGTCAGGAGGCTTTTCGGAGTAGCAAGAAGTAAGAGAAGGGCATACCGAGTCGATATTCACCTGCTTTATATATCCCCGACATCCCTGCAATCTGAGTCCCATTCACTTGACTGCACCATGCGTGGCCTAGGAGGTAGATGTTGAGTGCGAGCCAGCCGTCGTGGTACCTGCGTATATGCGCATCGTTGTCAGTCAGCTATAAGGGGGAAAAGAGAAACACGCACAATTCCCAGAAATGACGCCTCGTGGTTCCCGCGAACGACGATAGTCGATGCCGGCGCTTTCTTCCGTCCCGAATGATACCTTCAAAGTTCATCCAACCACTGTCCATTCAGCCAGCGCATACAAATGATTTACGAGGAACTTACTGATGAAACACCTTCATAACCTCCCGACTCTCTATAACCTGCAAATCCTCATGATTCCTGAACGCATACAAGTAGCAGATCAACGTTCAACTTTATACAGGCTCTGTGACTCGAGGAGGGCGAGTTGGGGGTAAACGGAGTCGAGTTTGCCGTGGCAGCATCCTTCGATTGCGATCTATTTGATTAAGAAGGTGGTTAGCAAGGGAGAGGGAAGTGAAAGGAGGAGGAGGTCACGGTTGTTGATGAGCTGTGTGTTTACATATGTATATTGAGCACTTGTGTCCTGTTCATAGTCCTTCTTAGCTCAGTTGGTAGAGCGCGTCACTAGTAATGACGAGGTCAGTCGTTCAAGTCGGCTAGAAGGAATATGACTGGATTATTGTTTTTCCATCTGTTAGCTCAGATGGCAGAAATGCTTTATCCCAAAATCAACCCCATCTCTCGCGTAAAAGAAGAAGAATCATCCTGGATGACAGGCGCAATATTATAATATCAGGGGGTAAGCAATTTCTCAAGTAGGTTATTTTATGACCGTCGAGGGTGTTGAAAATAGAGGGCTTTGCAATAATCACTATCTCTTAGCATTGAGAACTGTCGGGAGCGAGAGCTACAAAACGGAAACCCGATCTAAAAAATAGGAAAAAAATAACACCATAAGGATATATAACTCTCTGTCTGGGAGTCGAACCCAGCTTTCGCGCGGATGGCAATCCCAATGTTGAATGACAAGCGCGTGTACTAACCGATATACTAACAAAGAGGTTATCGTTGTCTTCCTTTCTAAGGACTTGACAGGCATTGATCGATGAATTCGACTGGGTATATAATACTACTTGGCCGTACCGCGATGCTGGGTATGAAGCGGTAAAACAGACAGGAATACAACCGACTGCTTTAGAGCCTACCACTTCTGCAAAAGCCGGCGTTTGGTCACGTGCTGTACTATTTTCTGACGCTCACCTTGCGCTCACCGGGACCCACGTCGTACCAAGTACGTGATCGTTTTTGCAATTGCGCTGTCAAGTCCAAATACTAGCTAATATGCAAAAGCTCATGATTCTTACATCCAAGTGCGGAAGATTCCTAAGATTGTACGTTTACGGTTGCGGAAATCGACGCCCCATTACTATTGACCTCCCTAGGCTATCCAGGCTCACAATCCGCCAAAGACACTCCTCTTCAACGTCTTTGTTAGTAGATTGGCGATATACAGCACGCTAGGTCGTGTCGTTGGTCCGCAAAACTGGGTTCGACTCCCAGACAAAGCCTAAGGCATACAACGTATGTTGAGCGTCTTTTTAGCCGAATCGAACAATGTTATTTAACCTGCTGTACAAACAAGAGCCGTACGTCGAATAGCTGGATTTTATAATGGATCTCACTCAAATGATGCCTATTCATTCCCGGACTCTAGGAATCAAACTCCAGATATTTTCCAATGGCCGACAATTGGTTCAAAGCGTAGTACGCCGCCAGTTTCCCCCCCAATCCAAGAAAGCTCCCTATTAGCCATCCCTTCTTCTCCGTCGGAGCGATGACGGATCCTGCAACCTGACCCACTGCCCCTATTTCCATGCCACAGGAAAGTATGGTCGGCTGGATAGCTTCAGACGCACGGCTGTCCGGGAATTTCCGTTCTTCAAGTGCGCACGATGGTTGGAATAACTACGTATGAATCCGATGAGATGGAAAGAGGGGAAGATTGAAGCAAGCTTCATATTGTGGGAGGTGAGGATATCACCGTGTCGAATTGTACGAATGGAAGGGTAGGGGTGGAGTGACTGACTTTGGGATACTGTACTAATACGACCAAGTCTTCACGTCACGCGTCACATCGGAGAGAAAAGTATTTTTTTTTATTCGCCTTAAATCAAAAGAAAAAATTTCGGCCATCTTGGCGAGAAAAAAAAATCCAAATCGATGAAGAGTTGGTCGTATTTGTACAGTATGTTGTAGAGTGGGTTCAAACTCCTGCGACTGTGGTTCCACAAAATATGGCTCTCCGAAAATTAATCAATACTATTTGAAAAAAGAACCAGCCGTTTCTTATCAGGTTTTTGTCTGGGAATCGAACCCAGATAATTGCGCGTGTCAATCTACAGCCCTGAACTTGAGCTGGCGCGGACACAACCCGTGCACTAACAAGTGTGTTGAATATAATTTTTCTTTTTCGATGTTGTTGAGGTACTTATGTGTATGGCCCGGGGGGTGCTTTTTTTATTCTCAAAGTGCCAGACACTTACAGAAGGAGTTATTCATGTAAAAGTAAAGTTGTTGGTGTGGTTAGTTGTTGGTGTGGTTATATACATGCATCTTCCCAAAAGAAAAAGTTAGGCAAATAGATCCCTCTCAGTCCTACTCTCTGTCTGGGAATCGAGCCCAGTTCTCGCACGATAATCCAGCAACTAGAAATTTATTTTGCACATATCGAGACCGCATGTACTGATCAATGTATTAACAAAGACGTTACAGATTTACATCTTGCTTAAACAGGACCAAAAAAGAGTCAGGCAGACCTGGGAAACCACAATGAGTGCGATTGACGGTAAGGAGAAGAGAACCTAATCTTGAGAAAAAGGCTTAACAAATGACGACCAGGTCTTCTCCAGTCCCCCAAAAGCGTCACCGCCAAATAATTGTATGATTACGGTGATGAAATGGGAGGGGCAGAGTGATCGACTTTGTGATATATTGTGAACTGGGTTGGGGATAGGAGGACTGGATCACATGCTCAGGTTCTGGTCAATGAAATGTGAATAGAGATGCTCTCTGAAAAATTAACCTTTTATGCAATCCCCAGGTTTTTGTCCAGGAATTGAACCCAGATATTGCACTTGTCGATTTACAGCCCCAAAGCTGGCGCATACACAGCCAATGCACTAACAAGTATGTTGAATATGTATTTCTTTTTTTGATGATGTAGGTACTTACGTGTATCGAGTGGTTCTTTACTTTATTCTTAAAGTGCCAGACATTGAAGTGCGAAGGTGTGCGATAACAGGGGTGGATCGATTATTTAAGAAAAAAGAAGGTGGTGTAGTTACAGTATATACCCGCTTGCTTTCAGAAGAAAAAATCAAGGATCACAATACTCTCTGTTTGGGAATCGAACCCAATTCTCACGCATAAATCCAGCAGGGGTGACATAGCATCCTCACATAGACCGCATGTACTGACCAATGTACTAACAAAAGGGTTATATATTGATGGCCATAAACAGGCCAAGCAGGGGAACGACGAGAGACAATTGATGCCATGGGGAGGAAATCTTGATCTTGAGAGAAAAAGAGTTGATGAATGAATAGGGCATTCATAGTAGCCATTTTTGATTCATTTTTTGTTCGCTTTTGTAGACATAGAACATCAAAAATGAAGTGAAAAATGGCTACTGTGAACCCACCCTCCTTGAAATTTTCAAAAATGAGATCAAAAATGAGTGAAAAATGAAAGTGCATGTTTTTCGGCACCCTGGCACTGTGCAGCTTTGAACTCCACATCTCACTCAGCAGACCCACTTTATCTTATCACTTCTCAAATATTATCTGCCAGCCTCAAACCTTCCTTATATCACGAATGATTAGTCTCCAGTCTACTAAAATTGTTTTATCTCATTTTTTTGCCCGTTCTGTAGTGTGTATGGTAAATACAGTACTTAATAGCCGAAAGACATATCAGCCGGACAACGCAATCTAGCAAGGGAACGGGACTACCCCGCTCGCCAGTCAGACGTGTCCCTAAACGGCGTTTCCGTGCCAGGCTGTGTGGGGGAATGATCGCCACGGGCGTGCCTCCATCAGTGCAAGGGATAGTCATTGGGGGTCAGGTATAAGACATTAGGGGCCTTAGGTAGTCTACAAAGTTGTAAAGTCTGACATGGGGCTCCGCCCCAATAGACTATAATTTGACATTAAAAAAAAAAAAAATGGTAAATACAATGAGGTGATTTCCATATGGGGCAACAACATAAGGAACGGGCAATGCCGAAACACCTTTGGCGACTTGAATGCCGAAGACGAAAAATGAATGAAAAATGGATGAAAAATAGAACAACTTCAGAAAATGGACGTGCTACTCATTTTTGAAAAAATAGCATTCTCCAGTCATTTTCCGTCTCATTTCTGGCTCCATTCTTTATCCCATCTTTCTGAAAGTGAAATAAAAAATGAGATCAAAAATGGAACAAAAATGGCTACCGTGAACGCCCCTAATGACGTTTAGGCATACCTTCTCCAGTCCTCCAAAAGCGTTGTGAGTTTTTCATCTCTTTGTCTGGGAATTGAACCCAGCTTTCATGCATATACATGCATTTTTCAGTGTTGCTGGCTGAATGACAAGCGCCTGTACTGACCAATATGCTAACAAAGAGGTTGGATATGTGTCTCTTTAGTGGCCATTGAGCTGGGGGTGTGTAGCAACAAAAATCGATGAAGCGGCGTCCTTCATTTCATTTTATTTGCATGGGGGTCAAGTCCTCAGTCAGCTGGAAATTGTAATTGTGGTGGAGCATTCAAAGTTCATCAACTACTAGCCTGTACAGAAATAGAGGTCATATCAGCACCCTATCTTTCTTGCAAAAAGTCTTTATCGCATATGAAGGGGCACAATAACACTTGCAGAAGAGGTGGATCAAATATTCAAATAAGAGTAAAAATGTTGCTGTGGTTATATACATGCTTCCTTCTAAAAAATGGGCCCTTCAAGGGGATCATCCAAGTCATAACTCTCTGTCTGGGAATGGAACCCAGTTCTCGTGTGATAATCCACCAAGAAATTTTTATTACTTATCGAGACCACGTGTACGGACCAATGTACTAACAAAGAAGTTACATATTGACGTCTAAAACAGGACCGTAAAAGAGTCAGGCAGACCTAGGAATACATGATGAGAGCAATTGATGGTAAGGAGAAGAAATTCCAATTTTGAGAAAAAGACTTAACGAATGACGTCCAGGCATACCTTCTCCAGTCCCCCAAAAGCAGTTACCAGGGAACTACTAGAATCTCTTTGTCTGGGAAT